TTTTTTTTCCAGTTGAACTTTTTTTATGTTAGCATTATAAACCACCCAAAGTTCTTTTTTTTTTTCTCTTTTTTCTAGTCATGTGCCTTTTTATTTTTAAATGAAATGGATTTTTGTCTTTTAATATGTCAAAACAACTTGTTTTTTGCATTAAAAAAAAAACGCATGCTAATTTTGTTTTCTGGTTTTTATAGCTACTTACTGTTTGTCTTATGAAATTCAACACTACCTCTTTGACCACAAATCCAGAAATGTATAATTTTTCATTTATTATTATTATTATTATTATTTTCATTTTTACCACTACAATATGATTTTCAATGTATGAAAAGTATGCAACAAAAAGATAAATTTAGTTAAAGTTTAAAATCTCCTTAGTGTTTATTATCTAGTTTATAGAAATATTATTAATTACAATTAAAAGTGGTAATATGATATTATAGCATCGTTAAAGTTTTTCGTTTGATATTATAATATGATATTATAGGTACTAGGCGATCATTTAAACAGTTAATTTTTAAAAGTATAATAGACTGTAAACTTTTGAGTTGTGAATAATATCTCTATAACTGCAATGATATATATATATGATCTAAGCCCAAAAAATTATGATTGTCCATATATTTATATGTTTGAATGTACTTTTAAATTATATTATTGTCAATAAAACATGAATTCAAATATTTGATTTGAAAAGTAAAACTTATGAATTGTGATAATAGATTTGTGAGCTTAATTCTACTGATCCATAATAAGTATAATAGTTGATAGATGGTTTACTGGATGTGAGTCTAAAATTACTATGCAAATTTATTTGTGTGTTTGAATGGACACTAAATATAGTGGCAGTTGCTGATTAACATCAAATCTTTAACATAGAAGAAGAAAGAGATTATAACATGATTTTACTTATACAATTTCATTAAATGTTCATTACTTAATCTTAAATTTTCTAATACCTTTTTTTTTTGGTAAAACTAATATTCAATATTTCATATCTATAAACTGTTAGTTGTTGAATGTGATAATATGTGGCCTACACTGCACTGTATGTACCAGGAATAAACTAGGGCTGCCAGCCGTAAGTTGAACAGCCCCATCCCCACTTTCCTTCTCATGTTCCCCGTCCCTCACCCTCTCTCTCAGTGCTTCATCTTCTCTCTTTCTTCGATAGAAACCATAGGAAGACACTTTAAAAAATGACAGACAATTGAAACCTAACACCAATGGCCCAAAACACCTAAACACCCAACTCATTCAAAAATAACCCATATTAACCAACAACCAACATACTCAAATTTTTTTCTTCACACATGTCAACCAGAAAAGATACCAAATTTCAAGCCATTAACCCATTAAAATTGCCAAATGTCTATCAATTGATCCTCATGGATTAAATATAATAGTAGGCATAGATTAATCAAAATCAAAATCACACATAAGTAATTGAACTTTACATTCTTCATTTTATACTTTTCTTTCTCTTCTCTCTCTCTTTCTCTGTTTTTTTCTCCTGTATTTCTTAGTTCCTGGGGAAATGTTTCCCAAAAGACCAAACCTGATTTCATTGACTGCTGTGGTGCCTGAGTTTGGGTGTATCATAAATGGATGGGATGGCATCATACATCTAGGGATCATGGTTTATGCTTTCAAGAGCAGGTCTAGGCTAAAGTCCTGACTCAGGGAAGGGCAAGATGTAGTCAAAGTAGACTGTCTAAATTATAGCTTGCATTTATTTTTCGGATCAACTTGTCACCAGAACCTTACTTTTGTGTATTCAAAGCAATTAATCATTTTGCTGCAATTTGTGTGAATTTTCTATATCTTTCTTATGTTTGTAAGAAGATAAAAAGTATAGGTGCCCTATGATACCCTGGCTGCCTGCTTGCATGTTGTTAGTGGTAGATTGACACCCTTTCAGACTTGACATTCTGGTGAGATGTGTCCTGAGAAAGCTTTTCATTTATTTGAGAGGGTTAGCAAAAAGAAAAATTATGAACTGGAAAAACTGGACCTTAGGAAGGAAGAAGATAATGGAATGCGAAAAACTAAATACTTCTGACCAAGTTTTGATGCACTTACACATTTTTAGCGGGATTAGTAAATTTCCATATGCCTTCTCTATAACTATTAATTCATGAAGTTCCTGCTTTATGTATTCTTCAACTGATTTCCCTGCAGGTTGGTTTGTCCAATGTCTTAGAGCAGATTGTAGAAACACTTAGAGATAATACCGAGTTGTCCTATCTGTTTCTAAAGCCAGTGTCCAAGAAGGAGGCTCCTGACTACCTGGATATCATAAAGCGCCCAATGGATTTGTCCACCATAAGGGACAAGGTTAGGAGGATGGAATACAAAGATCGAGAGGAATTTAGACATGATGTGTGGCAGATTGCCTATAATGCTCATATCTACAATGATGGTCGCAATCCAGGTATTCCTCCTCTTGCTGATCAGCTTTTGGAGCTTTGTGACTACTTGATGGATGAGTATCAACAGAGCTTGTGTGAAGCTGAAGCTGGAATAGAAGCTAGGGATACTTAATTAGCTGACAGATTACAATTATTTATTTATCTGAAAGCCACAATTACCTTGAGCAGCTTCTTCTCTAGGTTTGGGGGATTTCCAGGGTTTGATCTGATTAGGGGATCTCTTTGAAAAAGAACTACAGTGGCTTGCCTGTTCTTTCTGTATATGGTAATAGAGCTCTGTGTATATATATATTCAAAAGCACAAGTACTTTTGAGTCCGTTCGGGCATCAAAAGAAACTAGGTCAAGTAGGATTGTTGTGGCTGAAAGAGATGGTGATAAGCTAGGTGAGTGTAGCCGGTAAATGATGGTTTGAATTACGTGGTAAAGCTTGTAGACCATATCCCCGTTGAGAGCATAGGCCATCTGGGAGTAATTCTTTAGTACATTCCCTCAAAATCGAAGATCCCAAGGCGATGAACCAGACGAGCTTCATCCTGACATTATGTTGGCCAAGGGAAGAAGCATTCCCTTAAAAATAAAGATCTGAGGCAATCCTTCTGACGAGCTTTATCTTGGCATTACCGAAGCTGGTGTATGCAAAGTAAGTTGATGTGAATGCTCCAGCTGTCCAGAGAGGTTAGGCTGCGTTTCAGGTTATGTTGTTTTAGTTTTTAATGAGCTAGGAGGGAGATAGAGGGAGGGAGATGAGGCTGATGTAAAGAATTTTGACACACAAGCTAACAACTGTCTGTACCATATATATCTGTACGTCTAATGTATTTTTGTAGTTAATCACAATCAAATTGAGTTTAATCCTTTGTACAATGGAAAATATAGAGACAAAAAGGAAAGTTATTGTAATAATTAAAAAAACCATGAAGCTAAAGATAATCAAGCATTTTTGTATTGTAATATATCAACTACACAAGCTTAACATGATATTTTCCATATACTGTCTTTTAAGTTAGTTATAATACCAATGCTACAAAACTAGTAATATATACGAGCGGCACCTATACTGTCTTTTATTTTTTATTTTTCATAAATGGCTACAAAATAAAAATAAATAGTAAAAATAATAGTATGATACATTTAAAATAAATTAAAAGCTAAAATGCAGTACCAATTATTCTTTTAAAGTGTATGCAAATGCAAATTGGTGAAGGAGCAAGGCATATCTTTGAAATATACAAACAAATTACTTATTAGAATATGGTGAGCCCTCAAGTGAATATTATATTTGAGGTTTTGTCGATATCTGTTAAAATAATTGGAGAAGAAAGAAGTAGAAAATTTAGAGTGAAACTCCCGACTGCTGATGCATTGGCATATGTTTTTGCTTAAATAGGATAATCCATGGATTAATGTAGTTAAGATTCACCCCCTACATGTGTCACTCCTCCCTTGGTTCATTTACTTGAACGTGTCCTATTTGGTGTAACTATATGTCTCTCTCGCTCTCACACGCACGTATTGTAGCTTATGTTGGGAATGTCCCCTCCTTCATGGTTGGGAGTACAGATCCAAGAAGTAACAAATCCATAGATCCAAGAAGTTTTTAGTGCAACATTTGACATCAAGAGCATTAAAGAAAGGGTAAACTAGTAGTAAAACTTATATTTAATGCGAAGAGCAAAATTCATTTCAACTTGGATTGAATGAGAATTGCTCCTCATCGCTCTTTTAATTGTTCTGCTGAGCTAAAGCTGGCAACTGGTGCTAGCATGACCTAGCTATACGAATCTTCTAGTTTAGACGGACGAGTTTAAGCCACCTAGCTCCGCATCATCCTCGTTGCCATCACGATTATCATACGCAACGCTAACAGCTGACCCGAATTCAACGTTGACGTCCAGGAAATAAAGCATGAAAACAAGGACAAAGCAGCACAAAATCATAGGAATGGGTCCAAAGATCCACAGAAAAAGAGGCAAAGAGAAGTAGAAGCCTCGGAGTCCTAGAGACCAGAAATAGCTGCCTCTGTTCACAGTCGTTGCCACATACTCAGCCGTCAGGTTGCGGTGGTGGTGATCGGAGTACATCTTTTCATAAGGGATGTTGATGAGGATGCTGGCATGGCTGTAGTATCTTATGGACTGCACGCTGAGCAAGAACACCGCCATGAAGCAAACCAATATTGAAAAATACTTGATTGAGAAAGCTTGTTCGCTTCTGTCCCCAAAATCAAACCACGCGGATTTGTCGTGACCACTGTTCGACATCAAGAGTGCAATGAGAGAGCTTAACATGATTGCCGTCGATGCCAACACCGTCGACGCCATGATGTGGTTTCTTAGTGTCTGCACCGCAAGAATTCCATTCTTCCCCACATTCTGCCATGGCATGACATAATATATCATGAAGAGAAGAGAAGAGAAAAGAACAGACAAAGGAAAGGATTGAGAAAATAGGTACAAGACGAACCTCCATCATGGAATGAACCCAGAAACGGCGGCTAATGGCATTGACACCAATTATAGTCTTGGTGGGGTGTTTGATGACTCGATGGAGCAGCCAAATATGGTAAGCTACCATCGTTAGGATCCCCAGTGGAACCAATATGCAATCAAGATACTTCCTCTCCATTGACATTTGATCAACTTGGCTCTTTCCTTTCTCTTCCAAAGTAAGAAATTAAGATAGATGATGAAGACGGTGACGATGATTTGATGAAGAAGATCACTTCCCACTTTGCTGTCTGCTGTTGGAGGCTAAAGAGCACGAGCCCGAGTATTTTACGCAAAAATGGATCCTATATAAAAGTTCCTGCTCAGTGGAAGCAAATTTGTTGAGGATTCTGTCTTCAAGTGAAGTCGAATAATGTCCATCTCACAAACTTTCAGATATTTTTTAAAAAATAATGTTCCTTCTCCTAAATTATTCTATATTTTTATTTATGGAACAGAGCCTGTACTTTCAAGGTTTAACTGATTAGTAATTTACAATTTAGTTAATTAGAGGTAAAGAGAACTAGCATTTGTCAAACTGCTTACATATGAATTTATAATTTTTTTCTTTTTGTTTCTTATAAATGGCTGACGGAACTACATTTGCATTTATGATTAACATATGAATTTTAAACTCAAAAGTTTCGTACATGTTTGAATTTCATTCATGCGCTTTCAAAAGTTAGGTCCTTTTTTGTATTTGTTGCTAATACATTTGTCTCCTCTGATTGATTTAGAATTCACCTTACGGTTGGTGTCACATGTGCAGGACATTTACTTTATGGTTGGTGTCCCGTGCTGAACTTTAGTGTGCAATTTTAAATTCTGAAAATGAGAGCTTAAGTAAGCATGAAAACCATACACAAAAACAAACAAACGTAAAAGAAATCAAAAAGAAAAAATAAAGCTTAAAGAAATGAAATGCTTTGTTATTTCTCTGGTGTGAGTACAAATGAAGGGAAGGGGTATTTATAGGTTGATAGCTCTTCTTAATTGGTTGAGATTATGATATATGAATTGTTAGATTTGAATATGGTCTTAGTCAAATTCAAATCACATCTTAAGTACCTCAAATAAAATTTGACTAAATCTATTTGACTAAAGGTACAAATAAGAAACAAAGCCTTCTGAATGTGGATCAGACTTTCAATTGGGCTTGCTAGCCTACTAGGTTGTTGGACTGCTTAGGTTGTATGTGCTACTAGCTTGCTAGCTATTTGGGCTGCTAGGCTGATGGATTACTGGCTTGGCTATCTATGGGCCTTCAAGGCTACTTGGGTTGTTTGCCAACTAGCTAAGGCTATTTGAGCTGTCTCTTTGCACATTAAGGGTATCTAGGTTGCGTGCGCAAGGCCTACACTTGGTTCGGTTGCTTTTGCACCTTGTTCGGCACCTCTGACAGCTTCCAGAGTTGGTTCGGCACCTCGTATGATTTGAGACCACATGCCGTGACATTTTTTCCCATTTATTTCAGCAACGTTCTCATTGCCTCATGGAAGAGCTCCACTTTGTCTTGGAATTGCCATAGGTCTTCCGTTGACTCCCAACTTGCCTCGTTTTTTGACAACCCCTTTCAATTCATTAAATATTGGTGCTTTACGATATAGCTCTTTTGCCTTAGCACTTGGTCGACCAATACTTGTTCCACCTTTTGTTCATATGTTGCTCTAATTCCCACAAATGCCCTCTAGAATTACTCCTTGCTTAGGATCCTACTTATTTGTATTATAGGGCTTTAACATACTTATGTGAAAAACTGAATGTACCTTCAGCTTGGGTGGGCTCTCAAGCTTTTATGTCACTTTTTCGACCCTTTTCAACACTCTGATATAGCCACCACCAAAGATATGTCCTAAGAAAGGTACATTTTGAAGGGTAAAGGTACATTTTTCCTTCTTTATAAACAACTTATGCTCCTTTAGTGCTTTCATTATTTGTCTTAGATGATCCAAATTCTTCTTTAGTGTCTCGTTGTAGATCACTATGTTGTCCAAGTATATAATTACAAATTTATCAAGGAAAAATTATAATACCTTGTTCATAAAATTACAAAAATTACTGAAGCATTAATAAGCTCAAATGGCATGACAAGGAACTCATACGAACTATAACGAGTCACACATGTTGTCTTGAGTTCATTTTTTTTGTTATGCGTACTTAGTGGTGCCTTGAGCGTAAGCCTAGCTCTGTGAACCATACTGCTCCCAATTGATCGAACAAGTCTACAATCAACGGTATAGGATACTTTAAGTGTTGCGAGCTTCCTTTAGCTTTCATATCTCTTAGTGCAATAACTCGACCAATGCCTTCAATCTAGCATCTTGATAAGTGAACATGTCCATCGATTTGCATTACTCCACATAAAGTGTCATTTTTGGACCCTTATCTCTTCCACGTTGGCCTTGAACTCTTCAAGCTTGTCCATTAACTCTTCCACGGCCATCTCCACCTTGGACACACGACATTTAAGAGTGAAAATTATGTCCCTCGACTTTTCTCATTTGGCTGCACTTATGGTCTCACTTACTTCTTAGACTGGTATGAGTTGTTCTTTTATTGATGTTGTCTTTTTCTTTCTGGAACCTTGACTCTAATACCAATTGTCACATGTCAAATTTTAGTCAAATCTAAGTCTAAAAACTTCACACAAAAGCAAAAGCGGAAGAAAGCAAGAATGCTTTATCATTTTTATCATTTCTCTAGTGTGATTACAAATGAATAATGGGGGATTTTTAGAAACTGATAGCTTTTCTAGTTGGTTGGGATTAGGATGCATGAAATGTAGGATTTGAATTTAAAAATGACTTAGTCAAATTCAAATCACATCCTAACTAACTCAAATAAAATCTAACTAAATTTATTTATATTTGACTCAACATCTATAAGGGCTCAAATCAAAAGAAAAACCTTCCGAATGTGGGTTCAACATCTGATCAAGTTTGGTGGCCTATTGGGTTGTTGGACTGCCTAGATTGCTTGGTTGGTCTGGGCTGCCTAGGCAGTCTATACTACTAGCCTGTTAGTTGTCTGGGGAGCCTGGGCTATTGGCCTGTTGGAATGGTTTGTCAATTGGTCCATCAAGGTTGTCTGGACTGTATGCTGGTCTACCAAGGTTGATTGGGCTATCTGTTAACATACCAAGGCTGTCTAGTGCAAAACAATTAGTTATTTTACAAATTTTTTAAAAGCATTTTTATCCAAAAATGTTTTATTTCATTTTGGTTCATGCCAAATAGTTATTATGAAGAAGGGAGTCGAAATGAACCAAGCAACAAAATAGAGGAAAAAAGAATAAGAGGAGGAATGAAATAGTCATTCCACCTAACCCAACATGCCAAAACGGAAATAATAAGTAAAAGAAAAAAGAGAGTTACACATTAGAATGGAATGCATAATTTTTTGAATTGCGTATGATAAAAAAATTTATAAAATAAAATTAACTTAAAAAATGGGATCTAAATCCATTTATAATGATAAAAAGACATTTATATTGGTATAATTCAATGAACTGATAAGATGAAAAGAATTGTCAATTTATGAACCGAAATTTAGGTTTCTATATTTGTTGTTTTGTTTCCTTTTTTCCCATATTACTATTATCATTACTTCTTACGTGCGGGATATGTATTTTGACCTTTCCTTTTTGTTTTTCTCTTAAACAAATTTTCTTCCTTTGTTTTACTGGTTTTTAACATTGACAATATATTGTTTTGTAGCTCAAAACCAACTCAAATATTTGTTTGCAGACATACAGAAAAAAGAATATATTATATTCATATGATGATTTTTAACTATTTTTACTTATTAACCAAGTCTGGTACTTGACAATTATCGATGATTAAATCTTTACCCGTATCATTTCTATGGTTTTATATTTAACAAATTGAAAGCTTACCCAGTTTTTATGGAAAGCAATTTGGTTGACTTGGTGAAATAGTTTGAGTACATAGTGCTGCTTAAAGTCTTTAATCTTGAGTAGCAGAAGACTTTTCGCAAATTGAAAGCATACCTAATTATCCCAGACCCTGGTCGTCTGGATCAATTCGAGTTCAATCGTTATCAATTTGAAAACTTCAACAAGTTAAAAGAAGAAAATTGAAATTGAAATGGTCTTCTTTGAACTTTCACAAGAAATTGACTGACAATGAAGAAACTTGCCAATGCCCTTGCAACTTTAATGAAAATGAGTAAAAGGATGAGAGTTTCTCAGCTGATCTGTTAGAATAATAAGATTGTTAAGATCAGGAAAAAAATAACTTGTGATGAAACATTTTCTTTCGTAGTAATTATTTTCCATAGATATTGGAAGCTCCATCCATCGACTCTAAATTTACAGCATGGAAGTTCTTCCTAATTAAGCAAGTGATTATTTGTTGCTGCGATTCATGGGATAATGAAGTTCAATTCTTAAGTAGAAATTTCAATATCTGTGATCAAAGAAATTTCCCACCGCCTTCCGAAAGCCGACCTGTTGTTTTCCTCCTTACTAGTCAAAGTTAGACTGGTTAGTTTTCATGCCAGCTGGGGTGGAAACAAGTCTTTTGCCCGTGTTGACACGCAGAACTCCTTTCCGCTTTTCTAGCTCTCTCCAAAACTATAAATACGTCTCTCTCCCAAGCAAATTTCCACATCAAATTCAACATCCAGCAAAATGGTGACCCTGACTATGAAGCAAAGCCTTATAGCTATTCTCCTAGCAGGAATTCTTGCTGGAGCCGTGCCTGGAAAGGTCAAGGCTCAGTGTGGTAATACTTGTTCGGCAACTGAATGTTGCAGTCGATTTGGTTTTTGCGGAACAGGTTCGGATTTCTGCGGCGTGAACTGCCGAGGAGGTCCTTGTGTTAACAATGGTGTTTCAATAGCTGACATCGTGACACCTGAATTCTTTAATGGGATATTGAATCAGGCAGCCGCGAGTTGTGTAGGGAGAAACTTTTACTCCAGAGGAACATTTCTTGATGCTCTCAATTCATTTACTCAGTTTGCAAGGACTGGCTCAGTTGAGGAGTCTAGGCGTGAGATTGCTGCTTTCTTTGCACATGCTAGCCATGAGACTGGACGTAAGATCTCTCTTATCTTTTCTCGAACTTAATTGGCAGATGCCTTCTTGCCAGTTGCAATTTCATGTCTGCAACCTTTCTCATTAATTTTCCTCTTGCTTCTTGAACGGTAGAATAATTCTACAACTGGTCGGTTCTGTGAACTTCAATCTCTTTATTATTCTTGAAGACTTGAAAACAAATTTATACTCCTTAAACCTGGAAATTATTATTAAGAAGCAATGTGCTGTTGTTGTTTCAGGTTTTTGCAGCATAGAAGAGGACGGTGGCGCCTCTAAGGACTACTGCGATGAGACCAGAACAGACTATCCATGCAACCCAAACAAAGGTTACTATGGCCGTGGACCACTGCAACTATCATGGAATTACAATTACGGACCAGCTGGCAATGACATTGGGTTCGATGGGTTAGGCGCACCAGAAACCGTGGCCAACGACCCTCTTATCTCGTTCAAGGCCGCCGTGTGGTATTGGATGAACAATGTCGCAGGAGTCATGAACCAAGGGTTCGGGGCAACTATTCGAGCCATTAACGGTGATCTTGAGTGTGATGGTAAAGAGCCGGCTAAAGTGCAGTCTCGGATTAACTTATTCACAGACTATTGCAACCAACTTGGCGTTGCTCCCGGCGGTAACCTCAGTTGCTAGAATTCATACTAAACTAGCAGCAGTTTCCCCAATGTTCCAGTCACTTGTACTTTTGTTTTAATTTGCTCTGATTCGTAGGTGTACCGCGGGATTAATTTGATGCAACCTTAAAAGGAAATAAATATAATAATATAAATAATGATTATTTGTATTTTAACGATAATTTAATTATTTGACAATTAATAGCCACATGATTATGCGAGAAGATACAAGGAACAGCAAACCAATTGAACAAATCTGTGCTATTGTTATTTTGGTTTTTGAGGGCCGAATTTGACTGGTCAACAAGACGATAATTTTCTTCATTACCAACAACTAATCCTATCGTGGCACCAATTGTCTGAGTCGAAAAGGGCAAAAAAAGAATTAGTTAGAGAAAACGATGGGATTTAATCTTTTTTTTCTTTGTTTACTAGAGTTGACCAGTCTTTTTACCAGAAACTACAAAGAAATTTAAAACATAAAATTCAATTAATTATTTAAATTTGCGATCCATCTCTGGTAAAAGAAACATGACATAATATTTATTCATTTTCATATACTTTTTTTGTTATTATTATATCTTTTTTTTACCTAATTCCATTGATTGAGTTTATATATATTTAGTATTTCTTCTAACTCATGACACAAATTTAACTATTAGCATGATATATTAGTATAAAATAATATTTGATTTTAAATAATTTAAACAGCTGTACAGCAGCGGTCTAACGAGAGAAGTAGTTGTAGACTTTGACAGAGTCAACCAGACATCTCAAACCCAGAAAGTCATCCTTGCCATAGGCATGAGCCCCCAAACCCCTGAGAACATCTAGGCAAGAATGGAAACAGAGCCGGTACATGAACATCCATCACACTTCCAACAGGCTGCTGTGATGGAATTTAAATGATTCTTACGTACTCATTTCATAATTAGATAGTTTATTATTTTTTATATTCTAAATAAAAACGTTTTAATTTTTTAAATCCGTTTGTAGAGTTAAAAACCTCCACCACCATGAGATACATGGAATTTATTATATGGCAGATTGGGAGGTGATAAATGCAGCATACCCTTAGAAAACCTAACTCTCTTGCTGATCAATTGGCTAAAGAGGGGGTGGAGAGAGTTGGGAACGTGCTGGTGGTTTTTGGATTAATGGGTGACATTGAGTTTTTATTGTGCTTTTAGCACATAACTGTAGAGGATATGGTTTGTGGCAGCATTCGGCTGAGTTTGGACGATTAGGGATGCAATTGTTTTCTTGTACGTAACTCTCATGTTGCTGCAGCTGGCTTTAATGGGGGATGAGTCAGTTTAATGTCTGCTGAGGTTTTGTTGTGAGCTATGTATCTGTTTATCTACGCCATTGGCCTCGAACAGGGAGTCTCAACTTGTTTTTGGTAATGATCAATTGAAATTTAAATAAGTTATTATTTTTTGGTTTAATCTTTTTTTTTTTATGATTCAGGCTTGATTTGTGATTTTTGTGTGTGGACGTTTTCAATTTTGACTTGATTTATGTCTACAATCCACTTTCATCTAGCTCGAGTTTGACCTCATATTAAAATTTTTTGCGTTGAAATGGATCAAGCATGCACTATTATTTTTTAAGACAATTTTTTTTTTGAAAATAATGATAATGAAAAATAATTTTAATAAATTGATCTAAATAATAAAAAATATTTTCTACATTTATCTAAATAATAAAAATATTAAATTTCAACAAGTTATTTTTTGATTACCAATGGACCTGTCAATCATTAATTTATTTAGTTCCAAGTAAAAGTTGAGGAATTGAATTGAATGCAATAAAAAAATAAAATTTTTTGAATAAAATTTCATTAAAATAGCATATAAAGGGAAGGTATAATCCTCATAAAAAAAAGCAACCCTTGAATTTGACATCTATGCCTTTCAACAAAAACAGAGGTATAATTCCCAAACTCACAGACCTACCAATATCAACCAAATCAAAAACCTATATCTATAAAACAATAAAATATTTATCTAAATTTTCCTAAAGAATTTAAATAAAAAAAACTCCAATATCCATGTACTGGGTATATAATAATTCCCCAAATCTTTGACAAAACTTTTTCTGTAATCATTGAAAGCAGGAAAATGAAATTGTCTCATGGTAATACACTTTCACCAAACATAAGAACTACGAGGATGAAATCAAGGTGATAATTAGGATTTCCTTGAGCCAGATTATTTAAGTCTAATTTAAAATATTCCTACGTCTTCTGACTAAATTAATACGTTCATGAAGAGAATTACAAACATTACACTTGCTTTCCCAATACTTGAACACTAACAACTCATTAAGGTTGATTTAATTTAAGCAGTAAAACAGTTTTGATTCATAAGTTTATATATATATATATATATATATATATATATATATAGTTCATAAGTTTTGATTCAGCATATTTCATTTCAGCTGGTGATTTAAAGAAATAAATACTTCAATAATATGAATTTAATTAAAACAGTTTCACATTTAAATATTGTAAAATGAAGAGTGAGATTTATCAGATAAAAGAAACTTATTTAATTTCATTTATAAAACTCAAGGCAACAAAGGTTAATTACCTCGTCTTAGTCTTTTCTACTATTCCCTCTCATCCTTCATTTTCTCTGAGGAGGTATATATCTAAATCCGAACCGATTAATTACTAACCATGTTGGTGACATGACTCAACTGACTGTGAGGGACAAGAAAATTAAAGGAGAAATAGATATATGGACGACTAGTACATTCCTTGTTTGAGTTGGCTTCCTCTTCTCTTTTTCTCATCCGTAGACCACAAAACATAAATGAACCCCTATTTGACATATATTTATTTTGTTGGGTTGTGTTTGGCATAGATAAAAACACTTTGACTTTTTTAAAGTTAGAAGTTAGAATGATTCATTTTCCACAAAGTAATTAACCCAAATGATTTTGACCAGAACACTATCTTATGGCGACGGGTAATGGTGTTAAGGCAATCTTGACTGAATCAAATGAATTTTATTACAAAGGGTTTGGGATAACGGGTGCTAATAATATTTAAAATTTATAATAAATGAACTTTAAGGTAATCTGAGACATCTCTCTTAAGATTAATTAAAGATATTATTTATAATCATAGTTTTGTATTTATAGTTCTAGTAATTAATAGTTAACGTAATAAATCTAAATGCATTAAGAGAATAAAATACTTTATATAGTAACTTTTAATTAAAGTGATCCTTCAGGACAGCCATTAGCAAAATTTATTTTACCAAAACTAAAATTAATAGATTCATGGTAGAAGTGTCCATATATGGGCCAATGCTATTGGATCTTTTTGATTCATTCATTTAATTATTACAAGTATATTAATCCGTGGAATGTCACACATATACAAAGTTGTTTTTAATTATTTTTTAAAATTTAAATTTAAAACAAATTTTTTGTTGATTTGATAATAATTTAATTTTAAAGTCACTTAATAAAATTAAGTTAAGTTATAGTATAATGCTTTTCCTTCAAATGTAAAGATTTTCAAAAGCTGGACAAGAATCTAATAATTTCGTGTGAATGTAGCCTTGGTGTCAATGGTAAGGGAAGAGGCACAAAACCATTAAATAAGTCATAGGTTCAAGTCCCGTACGTGATGAATTGGATAAAACTGAATGTGGTTCAGGTCTCGTGATCATAATTCAGTTAAAACCGAATGTCAGGTCTCTTTAGCATGCTTTAATTTTTTTTATTTAATTTAATATTTCATACACGTTTCTTTGTTCTTTGATCATTATGTGCTTTGTCTGAATCCATCTCTGTCCTTCTATCTTGTTCTTTCCATTGTCGGTTCCTAGTTGATGCTTTTCATTATTTTTTATAAAATTTCTTTTCCTTTTGAAAAAAAATATTGCTAGCTCAAAAATTTTAAAATAAATACTTTTTCTATTTCAAAAAATATGTCTATTATTAACTTTCTCAAAATTTTTTGAAAAATAATTTTAGTGTATTTAATATTAAATTTTAATTTTTTCTGTAAAATTGATATTTCATAATTTTTAATGTTAAAAATTTTCATTAAAAATAATTTTAAAATACAGAAAAAAAAAGACTTTTAAGTATTAAAGATGGAAAGAAGAGTTTTGGAATATCTAAAAAAATGTGGATAAAGAATATGAAACAAAGAAAATAATATTTATTGATAGACAATGGTTTTATAAGGTCAAATGTACAAGGAGAAATTATAGTGGATAAAATATTGAATAAGTCCTTGAACGTATTTAACATATATGTACATAACTATTACATTTAAGAAGAAATCAACAAATAAATTAAATAAATTAACAAATCAACATAAACATAAAATTAGTTCAAATACATTTTCCATCAATTTTTTCGCCAAGAAACTAAAAGTGACATCACATGCATGGAATGAAAATCAAAAATGCACTTACAACAATTAATTTAGATATAAAGATTTTTGGGAAGAAAACTGAAGTTGGATGATTATTTCGTTATGAGAAGGAATGCAAGTAATACCTTGACAAAATTTAGAAATAGTATTAGTGGACTCAATTCTATGATCAATCAATCATTGATCTGTTTCTCCTTGTAACTATCATATTACTATCAATGAAATCTCTTGATTGGTTGAGAAAAAAAAAATCAATGATTGAATTGAAGTATTAAAAAAGCATAATTTTTGTAGTGGTAATTTAATATTATATATATATATGAGTAGTAAACACAATGTCAATGAAATTTGAAATCAAAATAGCTCCTTCCTAGTTTAAGAATCCAATTACAATAATGTAAAACTAATCCCTTAATATCGGCTTGGATAGGGAATTTTGTGATTAAGTGTCAACAAGGTTGAAATATGTAGAACAACTTTACACACTAAAATTGAGTCGAACCTCTTTTCTCCGTCGTGTTAACGTCTTCTAGAATCCTGCATGTCAATATTGACACTTTCAAATTAACGCCTCTTATGTTTTTCTTACTCTTTTGCTCAACTATAAATAACTCCCACTCCCAACCACATTTCTACAATTAATATTGTGCAAATATGGTATTTCTTAATATGACCAAAGGTCTGCTAGCAGCCATTGTTCTGGCTGGTTTTCTTGCCGGATCGGTGCCGGTAAAGGCTCAACCACTGGCTGAAGTACTAACACCTGAGTTCTTCAATGCGATTTTGGATCAGGCAGATCCAAGTTGTGAAGGGAGGAACTTTTACTCAAGGGATGCATTTCTTAAGGCTGCCGATTCTTTCCCTCAGTTTGGTTCAGTTGATGGCATTAGGCGTGAGGTTGCAGCTTTATTTGCACATGTCACGCATGAGACTGGACGTAAGATCTCTCTCTTTCTCCAATAAACTTAACAGAGGCGTTAATTTACATGCATGCACAAATTCTAGTTCATGAGAAAGTCTGTGTATGGTCTAGCTTAAATAGTAGTGAAAATCATTTTGCTTGTGCAGATTTCTGCTATATAGAAGAGATAGGCGGCGCAACAAGGGACTACTGTGATGAGACCGTTACACAGTATCCGTGCAACCCTGACAGAGGTTACTATGGCCGTGGACCGATCCAACTATCCTGGAATTTCAACTATGGACCAGCTGGGGATAGCATCGGCTTGATGAGCTAAACTCACCTGAAACCGTCGCCACAGACCCTGTTATATCGTTCAAGACGGCCTTGTGGTACTGGGTGAACTTTGTCCACCCTGTCATAGGCCAAGGGTTCGGGGCAACTATTCGTGCCATTAATGGGGCTATTGAGTGCGATGGCGGAAACCCTGATACCGTTCAGGCTCGCGTTAACTACTATACTCAATATTGTAACCAGCTTGGTGTTGATCCCGGGCAAAATCTCACCTGCTAGACTTGTACTTTTAATTGTTACATGAAATGTAATAAAAATATCATAATAAAACGTCAATAAATTATTCTGCCTTCTACTTAGGACCTTTTATTTAATGTTTTTTCTATTTTTTTTCTCAGCCAAAGTTTACACAATTTCCTGTTCAAAAATTTATATTCCCCAAGAGATACTCTAGTGGTTGTAATTTAAATTTTCATTTTTAAAATCTTACATTCAAATCTAGGAATAAATATGATGAAATTTGTAAAATGAAAAATTACTATTAACCCAAAATTTTATGCACCAAAAAATCACCCCCTTGAGTTTGACTCTCCATTATCAAATAAAAATGTGTCTACATAAAATATCTTTTAAGCATTTGACTCATAATTTTGTTGAAAACTGTACAAAACATAAATTAAGTTGTCATCTACAAAAATTCTAACCTATAAGGGGTATTTTTCCCTACAAATTGAATATTTTATTACATAAAAGAATCACATTTTTTCATTATTTCACGCACAACACTCACACTAAACAAAAAATTCACCTATACTTATTATTTGAGCTATGCCTAAATGGTTGTTGGTCGGCCTTTTTAATTAATTATTAAGTGGCATAGCTTTTGCAATATCCTCTCCGCTCCATAAAGCAAGAGTTGGGCCAAATACGAGTGTGAAAAATCAGCCGAAAGTTGAAGCTCCAAAATTGTAATACGAGGCTGAGATAAAAAAAAAAAAAAGAATGTCGCTATTAATAATTTAAATAATTGCAATTTGACAACATTTTTTTTTTAAATCTATACTTCATCGGCACACCTATAAAAAGATGAAATAAATGATGAAAGGATATGAAAGTTGAACGGCCAGTCAAGATGTTGAATTGAAATGTTATGTATGAAAATCAACATTTTGTTTAGAAGATTGTGGCTATACACACACACACACACACACATGATTTCCCCTTAAAACCAACTTCAAGCAGTAGGTTATTTCTGATACCTAACCCTAATGTGAACCCATTTAAGTATTTAAGAACTCCATATCACCTTAAACCAATTATCATGCCCACTAATGGCAACTTGGGCTTGGCAAACTAGGCATTATTAATTGGTTTTAAGGTAGGTTCTAGTTCTTAGAGATATTAACATATAAAAATGGGTTCATGTATGCTAGAGTTTGGCAAATTTCAAATTCACTAGTAACAAGCCTAGTCCTAGGGTTTTTTTTTTCTCAATCATCAAGAATTTCGTAAAAAGAAGGAGAGTATACAAGTCCATGATCCTAAAAGATATTGAACCAGGGACTATAATGAGAAGTATTCTCATGACAGGGGACTATCACCTTGCATTACATTAGTTCCCCACCTAAAAAGATTAAATAGATCAGATAAGCATACAACCCAAAGAAGCACCAACAAGATATTCTTAAGTTCCAGCAACAAAGCACAACATCAAGCACAAAAATTGATGGCCTAGATATGAAATTGCAGCAGAAAAGACATGAAAACAAGGCAACCAATTACCGTGGAGAAAAACACAGCCTTACCACCATGCATAAAATATATCAGCCTTGTCAATTACCAAGTGTTGCAAGAGAATCGGCCATGGAATTAGCTTCCATCCATACTGTTATACATGTTATCATTCATATTTCCCATCTTAAGTAGTCACTTTGTGTTCTATGAAAAGCATGTCTTACTCATAGTAAAATTTCCTTAGTTTTTTCTATTAATTAAAAACTAACTCAAATTCTTTACTTGAATAACCGAATATAAAAAATAAGTTTTATTTAGTCTTCAAAAAAAATATGTATGTATATATGCATGCATGTATGTATATATGTAATCTTTCGAAAAATTTGTATATTTTTATATCAAAATGTATATTTTTAAATTTTTTGCTTTGAAATGTAAAAAACAAATAACAAAACCGTCAGCTAAACAAATCTTTAAATATAATTTATAATGCTTTAGAGAACAGAAAGCAAATTTACAAACAACATAAGGGCATTCCTTCCCAACTAATTATAGTGTCCGTAATGTTTGTTCTAATCACCATTCAGCGGGAGTGGTTGCCCCAATCATGCTCTTAGAAAAATGACTTGTATTCCAACTAACATAGGGCCGGTTTTTTTGGGCGATTTATATATATATATATATATATAGAATAATATATGTAAATGTTTTTTATTAAATTAATTATTCAAGATTTTTTAAAAAAAAGGTTGTTAAGCTTACGTTAATCTTTCTGTTTCATTGCTTATAATTATCACTCACTTATCAGCAAACTATTTTGTAGCTAGGTTTTCACCCATCCCATACAGTTTCCAAAATATTAAAACAAAAAGAAGAATTAGTGAGGAATGAATTATAATTATTATTGAATTCGCTTTCTTCTTTGGTTTTCTGGTTAACAATAATAAGATAAATCTATTTGACATATTAATTTTGCTGGGTCGAGTTTGACATTGATAAACGATATGACTTTGTTGAAGTCAGAAGTTGGGGTTCAGTTCAATCTCTAGAATAAAAGCCAACGCAAATGATTTTGACCAGAAAAATAAGCCCACAATCATTGATTGCGGAGGAAGTCGTGATTAATGCATTGAATGGAATGACTTTTGGGGCTACTCTATCTCTCTCTGTCTTGCCGCATAGCTTGATCCTATGCTTTTATTTTTCTTATTATTTTAAATATGACGGTGAACTTTACAAAACAAATATATATAATAGTTACATATCTATATATTTAATTATTTAATTAATGTTTTAAAATATATTGTAAATCAACAATAGTTACATTTTAAATTTATTCATAAAATTAAAAAATTTTACCATCGATGTATTAAATAATATTTTTAAAATAATAAGAAGCTGTGTACTTCTATTTATAGATTGAAAACAAATTTAAAGAAATATATAAATCAATATATGCCTTATTTTGCCATCATGTGAATGAAACAAAAAAGGGGAGTATATTATTTTCAATATTAGCTAAAACACTCATTTTAGATCTAATGTTTATAAAATATTTTATAAAATGACGAATTTTACGTCAATAACGGAATGATACATTTAATCAATGAAATATATAATTAATGTTTACAATAAAATTAGTCGTTATTTCCTATCGGCAGTTTTGTTGCAAAATTATCAACAAATTTATTGATTGAAAATTTTCCATTAATGTTTTTATCAATGAATTTATTAATAGATTTCCTATATCATCGATGACTCCTCCGACTGATAGATTGACAACTTTACCAACAAAATTTTTGGTTACTAATAAAATTTTTGTTATTAAAGAGTGTTTTCAACTGTTTATCAATAAAAAATTTTATCGATAATTCTATCGGTAATTTACTTTACCAACAAAATAGACCCTTATGTTGTAGGCACTTTTGTTTGACATTTTATGCCCATCTTTTTGTTCAAAGGCTTTTGTTATTATTTGTTTTTTTTTTTTTTGCAATTTGAGATTGTTAAAATAGTCAAAAAAACTTGTTGAGCGGTTGCTTATGGTAATTGTACAAGTTTCCTATGCCTAAATCGATCCTCTATGTTATGAGAGTCTCTAATGGACAAGATTATAGATTTGTAATGACATACGAGTGGTAAGCTTAAAAAAATCACTTTTTTTAAAAAAAATTAAACAATTATACTGATAAATTTTTTTGTTGGTAAAACTATTATTTTTAATAGTGAAGGTAATCTCTTTACATTTCCTATAACTATTCAAATTAAAATTTTTTTGGAAAATTTAATAATTAATTAGTATATGAATAGTAATTATAGTGTTGCATTTGTGTAAGGGAAATGGTGAATCATTCAAGAGAAGTTTTCAGATTCGCCACCAAATAGAAGGCAGAGATTAGTCCGATAATTCATACTATAGCAAAAAGGCCGACGCGTAATTTTTATTAAGCACGTACACAAGTCAAAGTCTGACCACTTGCTCCCTCTAGAAACACTGCATGTCAATATTGACTTTCAAACGCCGCTACCATGTCGCTATTTGCCTGTGTGTTTTCTTACTCTCCCCACAGCTATATATACGTCTCACTCTTGACCATTTTCTTGCATCAAACGCAATTAATCTCCCCCTCATTCTTCTTGTGCAAAAATGTTAGTTTCCGATATGATCAGAAAAGGTCTACTGGCCATTGTTCTGGCTGGAATTATTGCTGGAGCAGCGCCTGTAAAGGCTCAAAACTGCGGTTGCGCAGAAGGGCTATGTTGTAGCCGATGGGGGTTTTGCGGCACTGGCGACGACTACTGTGGCACGGGTTGCCAAGAGGGTCCTTGTACTTCACCACCAACTCTAAACAATGTTTCGGTGGCTGATATAGTGACACCTCAATTCTTTAATGGGATTTTGGATGAGGCAGAAGAAAGTTGTGAAGGGAAGAACTTTTACTCAAGAGCAGCATTTCTTGAAGCTCTCAATTCCTATCCTCAATTTGGAAGGATTGGCTCAATTGATGATTCTAAGCGTGAGATTGCTGCTTTCTTTGGGCATGTCACCCATGAGACTGGACGTAAGATCCCTCTCTTTCTCTCATAAACTTAACTTATTTTCTCGTTTATAGTTACTAAGTAACAAGCAAAATCATTTTATCCGTGCAGATTTTTGCTACATTGAAGAGATAAACGGTGCCACTAGGGATTACTGTGATGAGAGCAACACACAGTATCCATGCAACCCCGAAAAAGGTTACTATGGCCGTGGACCAATCCAGCTATCCTGGAATTTCAACTACGGACCAGCAGGGGAGAGCATCGGCTTCGATGGACTAAACTCCCCTGAAACGGTCGCCACAGTCCCTGTTATCTCCTTCAAGACGGCCTTGTGGTACTGGGGGAACTTTGTTCAACCTGTCATAGGCCAAGGGTTCGGGGCAACTATTCGTGCCATTAATGGGGCTCTTGAATGCGATGGTGGAAACCCCGCTACTGTTCAGGCTAGGATTGAGTACTATACAGATTATTGTAACCAGCTTGGTGTTGATCCTGGGCCCAATCTAACCTGCTAGCTTGCAGCCTTCTTTATATATAAATATAAGTGAATTTCACAGTCAGTTATGTTTTTCCTGTTTAGGTTAGTTAAAAACTAGTTTTAACTGGACGTACGGTTGCAATGAAGTATTATGTTATTCGTAATCATATTGGATCACCTATTTATGGAAATTTCTGACTCATGTTTTTAGAAACTTGGGCAAATCTTTTAATACATTGCAGTCACAGATGCCCTCATTTTGGTACATGGTCTAAGATTATATAGAAGGTCAAGATGTGGATGTTGGCAAGAAATTAGATATCAATAGAGATTGATATCCCAAAATTGTAGATACATGATAAACAAATATATCAACGGATACCAAAAAACATAGAATTACTCTTTAGTTTTTATATTTGTCATGATACTATATCTATATCATTAAATTTTATACAATCACGTTATATATAAACTCTTATTCTTATGAATGGCAGAAACAGACCTTACACGCATTCTATATCCTTCTTTCTTTTTCTTTGTCATTACTGGGAGGCTTTGTTCATTCCAGAAATCGTTAGGATCACTTGGAAGTTCTTACCTGAACGAGTTCTTCGAAATTATTCTTAATGTATTTCAAGCCCCAGAAAAATTGCTTGTGAGTTGTGCCTAGCATATATCTTATTTTGTTAGTATGTTCTGTCCCAAATCAAGATCCCTGTCGTTCAAATGGTCAGCCCTTGGAGATTTGGAAACATAAGGTATTGCATGTACTAGTACAGCCTTTTCACCCACCCTATAGCCTAGCCTTTTTTTTTTAAGCCAGAAGCAAATTTTTATTAGCATATGGCAAACAATACACAACCGTAGAACTAACCAAAGTAGCGAAAGCTAGTCCTACGCCAAAGCAAAGATGTGCCTCTCTGTATCCTTCGCAACTTCCCAATCAATAATAACATTATAGATTCCCTCTTCTGTGAGGCATAGGAGTTTCGAAACTGGCGTCAAGATCAATATTAAAGTGATCTCTTCTTCAATGAGCAATTTATATAGTCCTCCCAACCCTGTTCAGTTTTTTTCGGAATTGTTTGTTGACAAAGTCTAATTTGGCTTTGAAAATTGCGTAGATTGCAGTGGTCTATTAAGCTAACCATCGAAGGATTCTGTAATTGAAAAATTAGCAAAACAAAAAACTGATTGGATGCGACTCATTTCCCTGAAATTTTCCCGACCTACACCTAGCTCAGGGAAACTAGAGCATTCCAAGGACCCTTGAACAATTTTGTCTGCATACGAACTTTCACTAGTAATTCCTATATACAACTGCTTGAATGAAAAGGTCTTGATGAAGCCTATCTACGGAGAAGTTTGGTCACTCCTTGTTCCAACGTCCTTCCAATTTTGAAAACAGAAACATTTGGAGGAACACGAACCAGCATAACTTTCCATGAGAAAATGACTCCAAAGATCGCTTCTCCAACTCCTTTGATGGCTCAAAAATGATCTTTCCATCGACTTTCTGTTGAGAAATTTTCCATTAACGTCGACCATTTTGAACAATAATATTGTCGGATGCCAAACTATGTTTTCTATGCAGAGTTTCAAATCCACCACCACTGTGTCCCCCCATACCTACAGTTGCGCATTTGCCCGCAGAAATCCATGGACATTACTTAAGCTAGCAATGTTGTCAATGTGTCTTGATTTTCAACGTTGGAAGTGATAAACCAGATATATATTGTGGTTTATGAAGTGTTGAAAAACCTTGATAGAGATGCAAAGATGATGGATTATTTTGAAGACGGTGGCTTTTTGAGCTCCAATTGGCAGATCATGTTAAGAAGAACATTGTTTGAATGGGAAAATGAGAGTTTTCCGTTAGCTGATTCTAGTTTGATCAGTAGCAGAAGAAATTTGATGAATTTGGTAAATTCTCGGTTAAAAATTCCTCCTACCGTTACTATTCAAAAAAAGTGTTCTTCTGCCCTTCATAGCATCTCTTTTGGAAATTTGTCCCTGGTGCCCCTCTCATTTGGAGGATTGTAGTGATTTGCTTATGGATTGTCCATGGAGCTGGACCTTTTGAGGAGAAATTTTGAAATGGTGGGATGTGGCCGGATGTTTCCCTAATTTTGTCCCTCTTTTTCTACAACAATGCTAATCCTTGGATGGATAAATGGAGTGCAAAAAACGTTGGCTTTTGTCTGTGGAGCAGCTTTATGATTTCTTTGAGGTGCTCAAAATGAAGTTGTGCTTGAAAAGGAGAGGGATTTGAACGATTTGATCTCTTTGGTGAAACTTTGACCTTTGTACCGGATCAAGGCAGTGGAAAGGATGATAGTGCTCTTGATACGGCTTGGTGGACTGACCGGGGACTGCCTCTAAGTCAAATGTATGAAAGCATCTCCTATGCAGAAGGAAAGTCTACTGAAAACTGTTACAAGCTGATTTCCTAAAGTTTAATACAGATGGTTTTGCTGGAGGCAAGTCTGACATCTTGGGTCGGAGGGGTACTAGGAAACTCTGAAGGTAATATTCTCACACGATTCTCCCAGTCTATTGGTGTTTTGGATTCTAATCATGCAGAGTTGTATGCTGTAAAATTAGCCCTGTAATTTTTTGCAACTCATCATGGCTACGAAATGTGTCATTAATCATTGAATCGGATTCAAAGATTGTTATTCTTCGGATTCTCAACTCATGAAAAAGGCCACGGAAGCTCTGCTAACTCTTTCAACAAATCCATAGTTATTGATTGCATTTTTTTAAGAATATATTTAGAGAGGCTAACCATTGTACAGCACTCAAGCATTTAGTTTATTTGTTGGTGTATAATCCCTTATTGAAAAGAGTTAGATTCGAATTCCCTTTCCTCCAATTATTGAAAAGAGAGAAAAAGCTAACCATTGTACCGACTACTTGCAAAAAAGAGATGGATAGAACTGGTTTTATATGTGGGTTGAGTTGGAGCTGGAGGATTCCTGATCTGAATGCATCATATTCTTTAAATTAGCTGCTGTTGGTAGGGCTCTGTTTTGCAAAATGTGCTCTTCTTGTTATGCTATTAGGAGTGGTGTTTACTGTATTATTTGGTACCAATTGTGATGCCTTGGGCTCGTTTTGTTTCTTAGATTTATAGCTGGTTCTGTTATCATTTGCAGCTAGATTGCTGTCATTAGTTCTGTTATCATTGGGTGTATCATTGTTTGATACGTCCATCAAACTGTTGGCTTAAAAAAATAATTTTAAATTCTTATTTAATTAGATTGCAATATTGATGAACATGCAGAACTATTTTGACTAAAGATAACATTAGAACTTACGTTGGAAGAAGGGAAATAAGTGGAAAAGCAATGCAGAAAACTTGGGTTTGTTGAATTTGAAGTTGCAGAACAATCTGAGATAGGAAGAAGATAAATAATGTTACCATTCTAGACTTTGGAATCACCAATCACCATATTGTTTTTTCCTTTTTTTGGTGGAAAGACATAAAATGATTGAAAAGAGGTACAAAGCACTGCATCTCGATCTGCTGGCAAATTTTAGCTGCTGGAAAATTACAGTCCTGCTGCATGAAAAGCCCCTGCATATAAAGAAATCAAAAAGCCAACTGGCAGCTGCGACATTCCAGCTAAAATGTAATTGAAAATGGCTCGATATACTTGTAGATTCAAAGAAAATTTGGATAAGTTCAAAGTGCAAAGAAGATTTTTAATTGTATCTTCTCCTAGTTAACAACTACAAGGTCCTAGTTTGTCACAAATCATAAGGCTACAGAGTTCTACACGATAGTGTCTATTTTAAAGTATTAAAATCTCCCAACTATTACTTTAGGCCAAAGACTCTCTCAATTCCAATCATCATCAACCTAATTCTATGCAATAAACGTAATTAACACGCACACTCTAATCCCTAGATCAATAATTGTGAATTACTACAATTTCCAACAATCAAAAGGGTGTGCTTTACATTCTGCTATTCAATCCGGATAAAGATGTTGCCTGTCATCTCCAATGAAACAACAGTGTTCTTGAAGAAAAGTATGGAACATTGTGACGATCGGCACAATTTATTCATCTACCAAAACGAGAGATTCTCAATAAATTTATGAAAAGGGCTTACATCAGTCCCAATGAATGTCAAGATTCATATAGCTAGATTAAACAAAAGACTTCTAGGAGTTACGTGTTGGCCAAGTAGTGTGTGCCGGTCATGCAGGCAGAAAAACCAGCTCACGTGAGGCGTGGTCTTTCTAGGAAAGGTGCAACTCATGAATACTAGGGGTTTTTTCCTTTCTTTTTCCCCTAAAGTAAAAGTAGTGGGACCTAAAGACTTAACGAAACAGAAATCTAAACCAAAAGTCTGAAACCACCGTGGAAATTTTGAGAGTCAAAAAGAAACGGTGAAGTAAAGTTTACTCTTTTCATCTACGAATGATTTCACCAATTTCGACTTCTGCCAAAAGTAGAGTAAACTTCGGCTCCCTTGGTGGTCTATATTTGCAACGCAAATTTGCAGCACGTTGACGGTCGGGCATGCGAATTCATTCTGACATATCTCGAAGCTATATTAATTAGGATAGGTAAAAGCCGCTGCTTAAGACAGCTTGCCCTTTCTTTTCACTCTCCTTTTCTTTATTTTTCTGATTAACCAGCTTATAGCTAAGTAACAAGTTGGTGATTACAGGAAGGTTATTAAAGACTGAAGAATGATTATAATTAATTGAAATATTATTCAACTTATCAAATGAAAGAACCTTGTGTCGAAACACTAAAATATATAAAATCAAAGAATCCTGTTTTCTCATTTACATTTGTGTCATGTAATCCTACCCTGCACATATTGCATCTAAAAGGAGGGAAAAAAAAGAAAAAAATTAAACGAATAACAATAACAGTGTTGGGTCGTTCATTTGCATGCTACGAACTAGTGGCCAGGTCCTTGAGGACTAGGTCCAGAATCTAAACGCTCAAGCCAGTATGCCATGGTGAACTTAGCCTTCTGGTAGACCGACGAGTATGTGTCGAGGTGATTTGTCTTTGCAAAATCCTCCGGGAGCACTCTGGTAGCTTCAACCCCGACGTGGCTCAGCGCTGCCATTGAGATGACAAAAATGATCAGAAGGGTGCTCAGCTTTCTGCTATCCATCTTCAGAAAGGTAATCTAAACGTGGGCGTAAAGCTAACTCTTTGAAGGGTATGCGGTGGACTGCGGTATGGGGAGCTTTGGTTTTTCTGGTTTGATACTGGGAATGAAGAGAATGAGGAAGTGATACCTGGTATATATAGGCCAAGGAGTTGGATAGGAGTCTGTTGGAAGTTGGAACAGCTGACAGATGTTGAACAAAGATGGGGAAAATGATGGGCTTTTGAGGACTATCGTGTTGACCAAGGATTTTGAGCGAGTCATAGAAACAGAAAAAACTAGCTCGAGTGGGGCGTAGTGTTGCTGCTGGGAAAGCTGAAACATGGGTTCATGATTTTGAACGTGTCAATGGCTGCTACAGCCAGCCCATTGAATATGAAATTTACTGGGATAACCCTTCCTCCCACAGCTTGGGTTCGATGGAGTTGAAGGATCCTTTCGTCATTTGAAGAGCGTCAAGGGCGGATCGGGTAAGAAATATAGCGAGTTTAATCAAGTCCAAAGTTGGAAATATTGAAATTTGACTAAGTTGGTTGCTTGCTTGCTGGGCTAGGAGGAAAATCAAAATTGGGTCTAGCTAATGTTTGTGTATTTTTAATAGTGAATTTGACTCTCAGATATCGGCAGTACAAGTTAAGACCTTTATAGTTATTTGACCTTAGAACTGTTTTTTTTTTTTTAAAAAAAAAAAACCTTATAAGTGCTAATTTATGGGTTAGACCTCGAAGGCAAACTCGTAATAAATTCAAGCTTAGCTCTTATATGGGTTTAGCAATACCTTAAAACTTTTAATATTACTTCAATAAAACTTTTATATTCATTTTATGTTTCTAATATTTTTAATATTTAAATTAAATTTAAAAACATAATATTTAAAAAAATCTCTAAACTATTTAAAACATTTTAAATAATTAATTTTCTTATTGTGTCCAATTAAATATTTATATTTTTATTTTGATCTAAATAAATTTTTATATTTAATGATTAATTAAAAGTTACTAATCAAAATGTCATTCATCATTTTATATTATATGATACTGATGTGACTTGTTAACATATCATAATGAATGACGATATAATATGATGATATAATCACATGATATCTTTTACTCTTCATACAAACGTCATATGAGTATAAAATAACAAATGTTATTTTAATTAACGATAATTAATCAATTATTAATTATAAGAGATTATTTAATCAAAATAAAAATATAAAAATTTAATTAAATGTAATAAAATAATGAAAATTTATTTAAATATTTACCCTAGCCTTTACTTTTTTTGGTTATTGGTTGCTGTCAATTTACCAACGCACTTCAACCAACCCATGTATCACATATTAATTGCTAAGTTCAAAAATATTGACTTGATGTCAAAATTATAAATATATAATAAAACAAAGAATTTGATTAACCGATCTTTACAGGTAATAATTAAGAATAGTTTAAATATTATTTTAGAAAAAGATTTGTATTATATTATTATTTTTTACCTAATTCAAGAGAAAATAAAGCATTACTTACAAATTTTCCTTTTAAATATCACTCTACCAACAATCTCTAAGCAGTGTTAACGTTTGACTAAATAAAATAGTGTCTCCTCTTTCATATTGTCACTTTTAAGTAGCTATGAAACGAGGGTAATAAAGGAAAAGTTTATCGGATTCAAAATTTTGTATAAAAAGTGATTTATCAAAACAGACTGTTTGATTTAATTCTGGATGATAAACTTATATATTTTAAAATTTATACATATAATAATAAAAAAATTAAAAACAAAGAAGTGACCGTTACTACCGTCGTTACCACCTTCAGTCAGCTCCTATCAAGAATTCATATATTTAACTAAAAATTAAAGTAACTAGACCTGTGAAACTTGTCATCACAAAAAAAACAAAGAAAGAAAATCATTAATTGACACTAATAAACATCCTTGCTTAACTTAGTTCATCTGTCACCAATGCTTATGAATCATTAGTAATATAAAGTCCGAACTCCAACCTGCATAACTCTTTTACACTTATCAACTTCCTTTGCTTACTTTATCCACTACTCGACGAGTCTATGTTTCCAAAGTTGTTGCTCATCGTAACTCATTAAAGATAGCATTGAATTCCAGGATAAAACTGTAGATGTTTAAACAACATTCTTAGATGATATGAACTAGCTATGTTTTGATGCTTACTTAGTGATTTAGGCTTAAATCAAATTGTTGCAGTGTAAAAAGAAATGCTTACTTAGTGGTTGGAGGGTCGGGAGTAGGGGAAAAAAGGAAAGAATAGGTAAAAAGATAAATCGTTGCATGGATGTACAGTGTGGACTCGTTTCATTGGTTGGTTTTAAAACTTTGGCTTCATGGATACATCCATGCATGCCCACGCAATATATATATATTAGCCTCAAAAATCGTTAGTAAAGAAAAAATGAAATTAAGAAGAGGAATTAATGAATAAAGTATCAAGGATTCAAGAATTATAAGAGAGGAATAGCTAGGTCCTCTATGCATTTTAGTTGTACTTCAGCTATATATATAGTAACAGATTAGAGAATTCTCTAATTGCATGGTCATCCAACTTATAAAATTAAAGAATTTTTATTTGTCCATTTACATTGTTTCATATAAATTCTATATGGCAGTCGGCAGAAGCTGCAGTTTATATCTTGAACCTGCCTATAAAATAAAGACGAAGTAAAAAAATAATAATAATAATTAATAAAACCGCCGAGTATACTTTCTTCTAGTTAACTTTCATCTGTCCGTATGAGCATACGATGCTTAACTGGACTTTTCAGGCTTGAAGATTGTGCCTAGACTGAGGAACTAGTGACCAGGTCCTCTAGGGCTAGGTCCAGAAGCCAAGCGCTGGAGCCAGCATGACATTGTGAGCTTGGCCTTCTCGTAGACTGACGAGTATGTCTCCAGGTTATTTGCCTCTGCGAAATCCTCTGGTAACACTCTCGTTGCCTCCACTCCAGCTTGGCTCAAAATGGCCACGGAGATGACAAAAATGATGAAAAGGCTGCATACTTTTCTGCTGTTCATCTTGGAAAAAGATGGTATTTTAATCACGTCGCCGGTGCTGAAACTATAAAACTTTTCAAAGTTATGAAACGTTCTTGTGCTGTGTATCAAGTATGGTGGAAATGTGGAAGCCATATGGGGTACTTATATATAGTGGAGGTGGTTGGAGTTGGAGCTGCCCTTTAAGAGATTGCGTGTTGACCAAGGGGTTTTTGAACCAGTCACAGGCAGAAAAGGAAAAACTAATGCAAAGGCGAGGCTTGGCTTTGTTGGGAAAGGTGTGACAAGGTTTCGGATTTTGAATGTGTCAATGGCACGGGTTTATGGAACACTGAATTTACTGCATGCAAAGTCGTTCCACGACTTGGGATATGGCAGACAGGTAGTTTTGCCAGTTTCTATGATATCAGAGTAATAGAGAAAGATTAGAGTTAACAAAGTCCAAAGTTTTGAAAAAAAATTTTAATTCGACTAATAGGACCTGTTTCATTACTTGGTTTGAATGGAATGGTGTGCAAGAAAAGATTGAAACTCTTGCAAGAGCGAAGCTACTGTGATGGCACTTCATTATCTACAACTGAACGCAATTTCCTTTGAATTTTAGTCTCCCTGACCTGAAAGCTTTGACACGTTTCCTTTTTTTCTTGGTAAGCCATTTCTACAGTGTCTTAAGGCCCCCAATAAAACAGTGTTTCAAGCCCGCAATCGTACAATCTGCCTACGTTTTAATCGGCTCTTTCATTCCTATTCTCTTCATTTATTGACAGCGTTTCACAATGGGAGGTAGAAAATTTAAACGAGTGATCTGGCTTTAACTAAATTTCTGCATTTTACTTTGATTAATAGACTTAAATCAACTGGAATATTACAAACCACTCTTTTCCTAGCTTGATTTTTGAGAATGCAGCCTGCTATAACTCCACTGCTTCAGAAGAGACACTGACTAAGCTGCTGGCAAAAGCCAGGGAATCATGATTCAATCCTTGCATGCCGTCTGTGATTTACAGAAGGGGAGCAACGACAGCCATTAGTGAGATCCTCGAATATCATAACTGTGGCCAATTTTGATTTTGTCACCAACACGGTATCCCAGAATGCACGACATATTAAAATGCCAAGGAAGTTGCCAGGAAGACTGATTGTACATTAACAAACTACTGAATACATAGTCCAAAACATAGGTCATTGCCGCAGCTGCACATAGGTTGTAAGTGCTACATGACAATGATCATCTAATGTTAATACACAAGTATGTACACAACCACCCAAAAATTACTGAGTTTGGACTGCAGCTATACAAACTATCTGTTTGGACTATAGCTCACCTAGTTTGAACTGTTGGAAGAAGGTTTGTTCCTGAAATAAATATTCCGAGATTTGTTGTATGCAGATCAGAAACTTTAGAAGTCCTTTGCCTTTTGCCTCAATTCGTTAAGCTCCATCTCAATCTCAGAATCTCGATAGGGAAATGTCTTGTTTGAGCTGGCAGAAACAGTTCTTCCAGGTGGAAGCTCTCCTTTCTGCTAGTCACAGGAACAGGAAAAATAAGAATTAAAACCTTATTGTCAAAAGAGTTGATATCCTAGACCGTTCCTTCCTATAGCTCCTTGGCTCACAGCAGGAAGAACAACTTTGAGATTTTGACTGACGAAAATTTCTTGTTCTCCTCAAACTACTTTCACTTTCCAGTTGCCAAAACAGACCAGGGAATGGAAAAAAAAGATCAGCAGGACAATTCTGAATTCAATCAATTCTAATTCTTTTTCTTTTTCATCTTTTTTTGGTCAGTCAAATCTGATTCTGCTTCTTCACCCAACAACCAGACAGAGCTGAACATATTGTCCACGTAATGTAATTTTAAAAGCCCAGTCGAGGGCAAGTTATTGACAGAAAGCTAATCCCATAATACAGAACTCCATTTTGCATAAAACAAGAATGAGACATACCTGTGAGCTACCAGAGAGTTCCTTTTTCAAGTTTGCAAGATCATCGTCAACCGATGTGCTCTCAAGTAATGCAAACTGCAAATTTAAGTAATGGGTTTCTTTTAAGTCCAAGAGAAGTCAAATTTGTAGAAAGGAACTATCAAGTACACAAGCAAAAACATTATATTATCATAGCAAAAGGGTCCTAAAACTGTGAACAGCACTACAAAGTAGTCCTGCATTCTTGTTCTCAATTTTCAAGTGGTAAGGCAATCCAGATAAGACAAGCAACTATTCTGATGAATAACTACACTATAATTCTAATATTTTTTATCTTAAATTCATGAAAACTTTACTTATCCCCAATAACATGGCCTGTTTCATGCCACAACCATAGAAAACAATGACAACTATATCAAATTGACTGTCCATCAATATTCAGGGAACTTATAGGAAAACCGCTTCCATATTTCCTATCCTTGAAGAACTTCAATGGAAATATTTTGGTAAGCAAGTCCCATTTTCAAAGAGATCGAGTGAGAGCATAAACCTACCACTAAAATGATATTCTCTAGTTATGCCATCAACAAGCCATTAACAGTGTTAAACATCTAGCCTATGATGGCCACTGCCAAAAATGATGCAAACTATCAAATATCATTGCCATCTATATAGTTAGCACCAGGAATGTCTAATAATAGCTACACTGTATGTCATACATCATCAATCATCTATTCCTATCAAAAATTATATCAATCATCCTATCATCTCAAAAGCTAGAAAAGCAAACCAAAAATTTCAGTGCATATTAAAATATGCAAAATGCAAAAATGATGAGCTTTTCCGGTAAAAATGTTTTCCCTACCACAACATTTGCTGCCAAATAAATGGAGCCCATATGACATTCCCCATCCCCATTGAGAAAATCGAAAGAGAATATGGCTACAAAGAACTGCATAGTGCCCTCATTTATAGGCATACACTAACACATGCCATATGCAAGAGCCAATGCCCAAAGAAAAGAAGAAAACCAAAAGGACAGTAAGGAAGGAAGGTATCCAAATAGCAACAAAATACAGAATTCTTAACTCAAAAGGTTATGAAACAATGGTGGAAACAATTACACAATTCCGTTAAAAGCAAAGTATAAAGAAACTTCAAAAAAGTAACAAGTAAAGCTGCCATATTAATTGCAAGAACACAAAAATAGAAAAGATTTGAACTTTGATACAGGGAAAAACTTGAAATTCAAAGAGAATTATTCTTGAAACTTTATCTCCATGATATACGGAAAGAAATAATACTGAGATCTTTAGAGAGAACAAGAAAAGGTTAGAGTACCAATTCAGCTTTCAAACTTTCATTAAGTGTCCAAAATATTCTCAATATTTATTTTCTTAAATGTTCATGGTGTTCTGGATCAAATATTATAGTTCTATTGATTTTATACAATTTTCTAGAAGATGTGAATGGTGATAATGATGGTGGGACGAGGAAGAGGATAACAAAGAAAGGCAATTTTGATTCATTGATAAATGTTTTAGTTAAAGGTATATATGGGTTTGATTTTAATCAGGTATGACTAAAATATCAAGTAGGTATTTGTATTTTGCAGCAACTTTGCCAAGTAGTACGAATTGGTATTTAGACAAGAAGAGAACCACAGGAAACCAGGCTAATGAAAAATATTCAGAACAAAACCACATTTTTAAATTTCCCAAGAGGGCAAGATCACATTGATTTTGACAAAACTTAACTAATAGACAATAGCTGCTTCCATCAAAAAAAAAAAAAGAGACAATAGCAGCATTTTTTCTGTCTCTGATAATAACATTTGATTTGAAAGATCAGCAATGTGAATTTCATTGGCCATTGAAAATTTGAATCTGATTTAAAGAATGCAAAAGAAAGATAGAACAGTCACTACCTTCCCTTCTAGATCATCTGTGGTTAACTGCCCAAGTGCTTCTGCTTCAGACTCCATTGCCATAACTGTCAAGGAAAGAAGGCAGGGGAAAAGATGAAGAGACAAGAGTTCAGATCAAATCTAGTTCTTAAAGATAAATTATCCACCACAAGAGGCACAAGGGCTGGTTGATCTTGTCTAACCAAGAATTGCAGTTAGCTAGGAGGGACCGCCAATCAACAGTTGCATGGCATTTAATAATTTTAGATATAATAATTTAATTAATAGATACACTTGTTATGAAATATTTACTTCAGAAAAAGCAGCATTTCATAACTCAGAAGAGAGTGTAGGCCAAAAAAGACGTAGCCAAACTTTAAAACTCCTAATATTCCTGAGCAACTTAGATATTTTTAAACTCATGAAGCTTCTTCACACATTCAATTCCTCAGCTTGAACTGGAGATATTGTGTTGAAGCACAGAAGAAATCACCCCATAATTTGATCTGATAAGATTTTTATCTTTAAGATGAGTTCCATTAGAGAAATATAGCATAAATTGCAAGTTAGATGGTTACAGCAGGCCTGAAAAAGCTTCATTATGTGCAATTTTCTGTCATGTCAAAATCACTCTCGCTAAATCTGTAGCATGAATTTATGGGATGCTCATTTACAACAAAAAGCTTCCAACCTCAGATTAACTCACCTTTCTCCTCCATTTTCTCAAAAGCAGATAAAGCACTGCTAGTGTTGACATTTCCCACCATCTCATTCACTTTTGTTGCAGTTCTGAAACAACATCGAAGTGATCATGACCAAAAAGTCCAAGGTGATAAAACACAGACAAAAAGGAAGGTAGCAATGGGAATAGTGGAGACTACCTTGCTGACTGTGCACGTGCTTTCAGAGTGTCTTTCTTTGACTTTGCCTCTTGTATCTTGCTCTCCAAAAGCTACACAAAATGAAATTCAGAGAATGCTACTGTAACAAATCCATCAATGTGTACATAATAACAACATAAAAGGAATGATGTAGAAAATTTTCTTATTGCAACTATTATTTATTTGTTTATTAAGTGTTTCACAAATTTTATTTTCACCAAAAGCATTCCCTTGGGAAATTATTATTGAAGGATTGGTTATTTCAGTTATAATTCTAAGGCAAACATTATGTGTCCCAGTATAAGAATTTATATTCTAAGCCTCCTAGTTCATTTATTTCCATATATTACTCAACATTTATCCAAAATTACTCTAAACTATTTTGAGAAGGCACTCAAGTCAAAGCAAACTGTTAAAAGATGGATTTTGGAAAAATAACATTCTAAATAGGATTAACCCATAAATTTGGGGAGCCAGTCACAATTAATCCTAGTTATTGGGATACTATAAAGAGATTTGAAGAGATTGGCATGAAGGCAGAACAATATCTACCTTACCTCTTTATAAATGCTCAAACTCCAGTACATCTCATATATTTTTCAGTAATATGCCTCTTTAACTTGCCTAAATTTCATCAGTATAAGATTTTTTATTATTTGAGACACAGTATTAAGACCTCCCATCAGTAGACCGCAACTTCCCTTACCATATTAAATAACCCTGCTATCATTCATTTAGAAACTTTTGGCCCCTAACTGCTGAACTCACTCATTGGTTTCTGTTTCTAGAGACTAGGTACATTCTCCTATTCATTACTTTCAAATCACTGCCACTGTTCATATTATCAATGCACATCACACTCTTATCATACACTTTGTGTGTTCAGTATCCCAACTTACATAACTTGTTCCAAACCAGAACCAGACTGTGCAAGTTAGTAAAACTGGGAATTCAGCCCCTTGACAAAGCAGCTAAAACTGCTACATATTTGTTCAGTTTGATTTATTATCTCAACCTAATGGATCATTTATAGCAAGATAATAACTCAGTTCCCTCTCCTAACTTATTCCAGGTTCTTATTTAACCTATAATTTATAACAACACAATCAACATAATAGCCTTTTTATTCAAAACATATCTTTAACCATTAGATTTTCATGTCTCATACACCAAAACATAATAATCATTTATCTCGACTCACGATGAACATTTAAACACAGTGCATTTCAAAACTAAGGCAATATATGACATATCTATAACTATACATAAAAAGAATCGCTATGGGATTCCTGTAGCTAAAAGCCTCTCCAATATTGACATTTGGCACTCTATTTTTTATTAACACCCGGCATAACATTAGTTATTTTTTTCATTTTCTGAATTTCTTTTTTTAATTTTTGGGAGAGGAAGAAAGAGAAACTAGAGAGACAAAGTTCAAGGAAGGAGAAAGAGGTCACGAGAGAGTGGGAGAGAAAAGGGACAGGAGCAAGAAACTGAGAGGCAGAAGACACAGTGCTAAGAGAGGAGGGTAAGGTGAAAAGGGAAGGGGGAAGGAGGCCAACAACATCAGAAGCAAGGGGAGTCAACATGTTGTTCTTGCCTCAAAATCCCCAAGAACAGACTCAATTTCCAAACTAAGGACAAATTACCAATCAATAAATAATTTCTCTATTAAAAAAGCACAAGAATTTAAATCAAATCTTAAACTTGCAAACTAAACAAATACAAATTAATAAACGAAAATATTAATAATTAAAGAAATCAAATTGGAGAGCAAAAAGAATGACATATTCAAGTTAATTTGAGTCAGATCTGAAAAAATAAGTTTAGATTCATGGTAGAAAGAAGAAAATTGAAATGACTTAAGTCAGGAAAAGTTGAAATTTAAGCAACAAAAATATCTTTTCCAAGTCACTCTAAGCTTGATCTCACTCACTTGTATGAAAGAAAACTAAAAGCAGTTGAAGAAGAGGAGGAGGAAGAACTCAGATAAAAGGCTAGAGAGTTGAAGAAAGAAGACAACTCAATGAAATGAGGCGGCTGTCGAACAGAAAGGTATTAGGGTTTAGCCTTTTATTATCTAAACTATATATTACAATGTGCAACATAAAAAAGATCAAATATTTTCAAAAATTAAAAAAAAATCTCATTTAAAATGAAAAATTTTTGCCCATTAAAATAACAAAAAAAAGAAAAAGGTTTTGCCCCACATCAATGTGTGGCCAAAATTCTAGTTCTCAATAAAAACTCTGACCAAAGTATATAAATAAATAATAATTTAATAGAATCAAAAGTAGTACAGATAAAGAGAAGCATACCCGTGTGTTAGAGACGAGATTCTCAACAACACTTTTCTGTTGATCTAGTTGAGCTCTCAAAGAATTAGCATTATCCTGCAGCAAAAAAGAAAAAAGATGGTTCATGAATTCTTCAATCAGAGAAAAACAATCCATTTTAGGAACTAAGAATTAAAGGAACAGGTTCATGAATTCTTCAATCAGAGAATTTCAATGCCTCAGAAATTCTCAGCATCAGTCAAACAGTCTAAGCCACTCAATCAGGTTACTGCACCCACTGGTGCTTTATAACAGTGTTGGAACAAGCCTAAGTTGGAACATGACGAAACTCATTTCTCATCTACTTTACAATGCATGCTCAGCAAAACTCTAAGTAAAGGAAGACATCTTACAGCATAAGATTTACGCCTCTTCAGGGCTTCACGTGCAAGATCCTCTTCTCCTTTCTGAAGAGCCAGCTGTGCTTTACGATACCTGTATTGAACTCAAAACTTAATGGGAACATTTAAAAACCAGCATAGTATGCAGACTAAAGAAAAGAACTCCTTAATGTATTACCAATCTCCAGAAGCCTGTTCTGCAGCTTTGTACTTATTTTCCAACCGCTTTTGAGATGCTAATACCTTCATAAAAGAAAAAGGGATCACACGTGCATATGTAAGTGGGAAGAAAATTACACTGAAAAGGCAGCATAAAAAGTACCTAAGAAAATAAAATTCTAAGACCATCTAGGTATCTACAGTTGAGTACATATGCAAAACAATTATGAATAAAAGAGATTCAAAAAAAATGAATGGCAAAAACAGTATAAAGGAAGGTGGGAAAAAAGATATGACAAGCCAAAAGACAACATAAGAAAGAAACACGAAAAACTCAAGAAATAAAAAATTATCAGGCTTACTTGTGCTGTGGCCTGTCTCATCTTTACCAAGTCATCGTTCATTTCAAGCACAGCTTGATCTAAAATTTTCTCTGGGTCTTCAAAGGAACTTAAGATTGAATTTGCATATGACTGCCATTATCAGTGAATTGAGTCTAGTTATTTAGATAACACATCAGAAGTTGGAATCAGAAGCTATAATATCACATGAATGTATATCAACTATTCCTAAAAAATCTGACCTTTACAACTCTAGCAAACCTATCGAAAAGGTTCATGCGTGTACCAAGGGCACCTCCACCTTGTCTATGACAATGTGATCTTCCTGGAAGGGTCCTTATCCTCGTTACTTTTAGGGCAGCCACTGTTAAAAGAAATTAAGAAAAAGTGAAGCAAAAAACTTGTTAAAATGCTAACTTGAACCAACTTGAGCATGTTGGAGTTTAACTCTTTTAGGTGATGTTAGGCAGTCCTACAAATTTAGTATTGTCATGAACTAGAATAAGACAATGACCTTTTTCATGGGATTTCCAATCTTTCAAAATACTCACAAATCATCACCTGGATATGACTAATATAGTCAAACACTAGAAAAGTGGAATGAGAATTAAACTAAAGACAACTGAAATTGAAGAAATGGGTTGAAAAGATGGTGGCTCACATGACAAGCAATTCAAATTTTCATTTTCAAAGATAAAGCCCTTATTCAAAAAGTACATAATTGCAGGAGAATTGAACCAATTCATCATCAATCTTTAATATGCCATACCATTGATTAACTTCATTGACATGTAAATCATATAAATGCTGTTTTGCACATAACCATTTGTGATTAAACAATTTAATGTCTTCAAGAACCCATTCGAATCATTCACCACTGAACTAACCTTTAGAGCTTTAAATAAACCATTAGCAAATCACCCTAATGCACCATTAGCTTATTGAACAAAGAAATGTTGTCATCCATACAACCACATGACACTGAAGAAAATTTTGTGTTAAAGTTTAAAAGCCCAGTCAATCTACTTATCAAATAAAATTCCTTGGTAACCCTCTTTCTCAGTAATCAAGCGATCAAAGACACAATGGCTCACCATTTGACATATGAAGACGATTAGATTATGAAAAGCAAAATAAGAAAAAAAAAAAGATAACTTCGATGTATTACATCACAATAAATAAAATTTAGGTCCAAATTTTCTACATTGGTCTACTAACTTTAGCATAGAAAATAACAAACACAACCAACTCAAAAGCAAGAGTAAAAAACAAAAAAATCTCCATTCACTGACCCAATTACAATTACTTGAACTAAATGAATTAATAAGAAAGAATTAACAAACACCCGTTAAAATTGAAAGTAATAAAAAGCCAAAGGAGGGTACCTCCGCCATTGAAGAAGGAAGAAGTGAGTGGTTTCTTAACTAAACAGAGGCCGCTGCTATTATTACTGGAGCTTGAAGAAGAAGAAGAAGAAGAAGAAGCAGTGGGTTTCAAGGGGAGAATCAATCCTGTAATTATTTGAGATTTGACGGCCATTTTAGGATTAACAGGAAGAACAATAGAAAGGTTTTTTTTCTTTTTTTTTTGCTGTGAGAAGTATAGTTTTCTGGATAGAAAGCAAAGAGACGATATCACTGTTCTCCTCTCGAATAGGCGTTTTAGATTTTTCTTTGGCTTTGTGTGATCGATTTTGATTTCTGCACCGTGCTACCCGAAAGAGTTCAAACCGGATTGGATCGACCGCTTTTTTATGGGGCGTTGCAACCGGTTCACCTCTGTCGGCTCGGATTCAAATGCAACCCACCCCGGAAGCCCAAACCGAAAAGTAAGAAGGATTGAAACAAGTTTTGAGTCGATGGGCCTGTAATGGTGGAATGCAAAAGGTTGGTAGGGATGCCGGGTTGGTTGTAGTTGTCGATGGATTGGGTCGCGCTGCAGATGGCCGGACCCAACTCATTTTCCATTTCTTAGGCTCACTGTTCACTCATTTTCTTGGGTCTATGTTTTGGTATTGCAGTTGCAAACATTGCATCTTTTATCTTAATTGTGTCTTAATAGGTTTATTAGTGAGGAAGGAGACGAGCTTGCTTTTTTAAATATTAAGTGTGAGTTTCGTCTAATGTAACGCTAGTTTGTTATTTTTGTTAAATGTAATTATATGTTTATTATAAAATTATACTTATAAATAAAAATTACAATCATAATTAAACATTATATTTTATTTCGTAATTAACAAAATAAATAAATTATATATACGTAGATATATTCTCCCTGTGAGTCACTTCACATCACAAATTATTGATGAATATTAACTTAGTATAGAGATCCACATTATTTTTCTATATATTAAGGAGTGGTTGAATATTGCAACCACATATAGATGTTAATACGTAATTAAATTGATTTCTGGAAGAGACCCTTCAACTTGTATAATTAAGTGAAAATGATCACCTGAAAGTGATTAGTCATGATCCATGTCCATATATTAGCCCAAAAAGGATGAACATTAGTGAAATCGTGAAATTCCAATTCCAGAAATTCAAAGTTTTAGAGCAAGAATTTAGTCATTCTCAAGCAGCTTAATTACTTCTTGTGTCAGTCATGAAACATAGAAAAGTCTTGCTGCAATGTCATTATAAATACAATGCAAAGTCTCCCAATCTTCATTGTAGTAAATAAAAAGCTATGGCTTCTCTTTTACCATCATCATCCACCAGCACCTCTTAACACTTTTCCCATCTCCATTACTGCCCTTTCATTCCGTCCCAAAACATCCCAATTTTCCATAGCCAGAAAGCAAAAGCCTAAGTTTTTCATTCCCACTGACGTATCCTGCAGAGCCGCAAATGGTGACCAAGATCTTACTCCGGCTCCAAAAACACCGAAGATGTTCTCATTGGCCTTGGAGGTCTTGACGGGGCAACCAGCCTTAGCCGAGATGACCTGTTTGCACTCGCAGCTCCAATATCTGTGGGCGAATGTGGCCATGTAAAGATATCCGACGGTGAAAATATTAATTGTTGCCCACCAGTATTAATAACATAAATAGATTTTGAACCACCTTCTTCAGATTCCCCGTTACGTGTTAGGCCTGCTGCACATTTAGTTGATGATGCCAACGTAGTTAAATATTCCAAGGCAATTGAACTCATGAAAGCTCTTCCTGCCAACGATCCACGTAGTTTCATGCAACGAGCAAATATTCACTGGGCTTACTGTGATAGGGCTTATCACCAAGTGGGTTTCTCTGATCTTGAGTTTCAAGTCCATAACTCATGGCTGTTCTTTCCATTTCATAGATACTACCTTTATTTTTTTGAGAAGATTTTGGCCAAGTTGAATGATGGCCCAATTTTTGCTCTGCCGTTTTGGAACTGGGATTCTCCTCCCGGCAAGCAAATGCCTGCCATGTATACGAACACTAAATCTTCACTCTAAGACCAGCTCCGGAGCCGAAGCCATTACCATCAGGCGCTGGTTGCTCTTGATTACAATGGCACTGAAGAAACTACTACGGAGAAAGATCAAACCACTAGCAATCTTAGAGTCATGAATAGGCAGATGATATCTAATGGCAAGACCACTAAGCTTTTCCGAGGAAGTCCCTACCGTGCAGGTGATGAACCTGATCCAGGAGCCGGTTAGCTCGAGGACATTCCTCATGGAACAGTTCACAACTGGTGTGGTGATAACACCCAGCCTAATCTCGAAGACATGGGGAATTTTTACTCTGCGGGAAGGGACCCCATTTTCTACTCTCGTCACTCGAATGTAGATAGGCTGTGGAGCATTCGGAAGACGTTAGGAGGGAAGCGAAATGATTACAATGACCCAGATTGGCTTGATTCCTCGTTTCTTTTCTATGACGAGAATGCGAATCTTGTTCGTGCCAAAGTTCGTCATTGCATTGATAGTAAAACTATGGGATACGTTTATCAAGATGTTGATCTTCCACGGCTAAAATGTAAGCCAACTCCTCGAAAGCTCGCCAAAAAGTGGCAACATGTGGTCCTGGGATTGCTCTAGCAGCAGAAACAAAAAAAAAAAAGAAAAGGGTCTTAACAAGCAGTGAATTCCCAGTAGTTTTAGACAAAATAGTGAGTGTTAACGTTCCAAGGCCAAAGAAATCAAGGAGTAAAAAGGAAAAAGAAGAGGAAGAGGAGATTTGGTAATAGAGAAAATCGAGTTAGAGAGAGACTCATTGGTGAAATTTGATGTATATGTTAATGATGAGGATGATTTGACAATAGGCCAGAACACACAGCGTTCGCGGCGCTTTATGAATGTGCCTCTAAGCTAGGCATGAGAAGAGAATTAAGACATCTTAAGGTTGGGGCTCGCAGATTTGTTGGGGGATTTGGGAGCCGAGGACGATGACAGTGTTGTGGTGACTTTGGTGCCAAGAAAAGGAAAGGGTGTTGTTACTGTTGGGGTATCAAGATTGAGTTTACTCAAGATTAATTGGATGATTAATCAGTTAATTTGATGCTCCACGTTTGAAATCCTCTAGTTTGCATGGAAAGTAAAAGTAATTCAATAAGCCCACAGCACCCATAGAAGCAGTGTCCTGCTACTATGAATATCCATGTAACATTATTCGTTGTTAACATCTAAGCAAAGGTGTCTTACCCTACCCTAATACTATTTGCTTTGAAATAAGGCAGTTCTTCATGTTATTTTTAATCTGCTCTGTTTTACTTAAATTAAGATGGAAATGTCGTCGGGAATCAGTGTTTCGTAGCTTTCTAGCTGGGACTGAGTAGCTAGCGGTTACAATTTAGAAGTTTCCTCCACCCAATTAAAGAAAGAGTTGAAGTCGCCATGGTTGGAAACTTGAAAGAGAAAGTAGACGACAGGATTGGATGATGTTTCTGCTAGTCTAGACCATGTTGATATATTCCATCGGTTCTTGTCATATTTAGGGGTCTACATCGCAACCATCGGTTACAATAACCGACGATTGTTTTTGCAATCGTCTGTTGTTCCGATCGGCCGACGAGGCCGATTGGTTCGGTCTTCGGGAGACTCCTTCCCCCCGAATCGATCAAAAAACCGATGAGTTTTTGTTTGTTGAAAAACAAAATTACCTTTCCTAAACCCTTAAAGCCTTTACCCCTTTCTGTCTAATTTCACCCCGACCTAATTTCCCCTCTTCCTTTCCTATTTTCTGCCTCTCCCTGACTCCTTCTCTCTCTAACCCTCCGAAACCAGCAACCATTGATCTACTACCCTTGTTTATCAATCTTTTATTTTTCAATTATCATTGCAAGGTAAACTTGAGAGATTTTATTTTATTGTTAGTTATTTTGTGAAAATAACAAGAGAGAGAAACCAATCGAACTGAGACTTTTAAAAATCGATCAAAATCGACATTACATCTTATGTGGTTCGATCAGTTATAATGCTGAAATTTTTAGTCGGTTTTTACCAAAAACCAAACCGAAACCGATAAAAACGCAACCATGCACACTCCTAGTTATATTTAGCTGAAAATGATTGATTTTTCTTACAATTAAATTTGCATGCACCCACACAAGCTGGAAAATTAACTTCAAGCTAGATTTTTTCGTAATCTCAACTTGTCTTTGTATTAAATTTTCTAGAAAATATATTAGACTACACTATAAGTTTTTTTAATATTGAAAAGATTACGTGCTTACACTTTGTTAGGAGACTTTTGAGTGTTTTATTTCGTCGTGCTATAATTTCTTTTCAAAATTAATTCAAATTTTGAAAATAAAAGAAATTAAAGACTTAAACACTAAATGAAAATAAAAGAAATTAAAATTTTGAATAAATTCAAAATTATATCATTTTATAATTGTTTGCCTCTTGTGTATTTTAATTTTTGATTATGTAAGTGTTTGCAAACTCTTAGATAACTTTTTTTTTTTTTCAAATATGGCATTTGAGATGATTTAAAGTTTTTCTAATGCAAAAACTTTTATCTACTAATAATAAAATTAGAAACTGTTGTCAAAGATAAATCGAAAGGAATTATCACAAGTGATAAATACAGATATGTATTCAAGCTAATCATTATCTGATAACTTCTGCTGAGATTGAGTTCTAGCATTTAGGCTCTGCATTTTATCTTCAATGCCCACCACTAAACAAGCTATTCCAACTGTTTTCAGTATTTAAATCAAAAATAAAATATTTTATTTGAATTTTTTTATGTGGGTTAATTAAAATTACAAAATTTTAAGATAAAAGAGTTGACTCAAGGTTATGACCCTAGTTAATATAGCATTTATTCTTGTAGGATTATATCTAATAAGTCCGATTTTAGAGCTCTATTTGGCTTAAATAAAAAATTGTTATTTTAGAAAAAAAAATATTTTATTAAAATTTATTTTTTAAAATATGAATTAATATTTGTATAATATAATTAATTTAAATAATCGAGCGGGCCGTATCTAGTTCCTGTATACCATCGAAGTGATAGGCTTCAATTCAATCTATTCAATTCCAACCCGGGAAAGGATTAGCAACTGTAATTACTCTTACTATATACTCAATTCTGGCATTGTTATCAACCCTAATGAACTTCCATTAATTTTTTTCTGGTTGAATTACTTGTTTTGCAGACTGTGACATCGTTTGAAAGAGTGTTGGCTTGGACAGCAAGAATGCTTCTAAGAAACGATTACACCAAAGCCCTGGAGAAGAAGAAGAGAAGATATCACAAACATGGACGTTCAGGTTCAGATTCCACCATTAATAATTTGGCATCGAAAATCGGTTCCTTACTCAAGAAGACATGCCGGAGAAGCAAGCTTGAGTACCACGATTATCAGCGGCTTGCGGAGTCTCGTCATGATCAGGAGGACGCTGCCAGAACCATTGATAAATCCCCAGGAATGTACGTGCCCGTTTACGTCGACAAAGAGGCTAAGAGGTAAGATATTAATTCCTCCGCTCATGTATCTTTTTCTTCCAAGTTTCCAGCAATGGACGATGCCATCTCAGGGAGATGATCTTGACATCAATGTTGATAGACCCATCACTGTTGATCGCAGCATCCAGGCCTTGGATATATTGTTGGAGCTTTGGAGCTTTGAACGGGATTGACCAACCAAACTGCTTTATTGAAGTCGGTTGAGACAGGACTATTGAACCGATCATGCAACCACAAGATCATGAAAAGGCGAAAGAATCTGGTCTGTGTTTTAATCAGAGTATAAATTGTCATTTATTTAATTTCCTTTTGGTTTACTAGGTTCAACTGTCAACAGAATGAATCGTGTACACTTCCAAGTCGATTTGTTCAGAAATTTCTTGCCGGCATGATTTTTTTATTTGGTTTTATCTTCTATTTTCGGGTTCTTTTGTTAAAAATAGATAGCATTCATGTGCTTGAGCCAACGGAGACAGTTGCCTAAACACCTTTCAACACTCAAGCTCAACTTTGGGCACTCCAACTCTTGCCCCTAGAGTGTAATAATGTAATCCATTTAGCATAATTTAGCCCCTAGAGTGTCAAATTAGATGAATAATTCACTTCAAAGTTAACATGTGTGCTGCAAAGATTACCAGGATTGGCCTAACAGAAGTAAAAGGGATAATGCAATTCTACCAGCTTACAGAAATAACAACTGGAGAAGCTAAAAATTTAAAGTTGTGATTTCATCTCAAACTTGAGTGCAACATAAGTTGCCAACAGATCCAGTACAAGCTACAACACGAGAATTTGTAATACATGAGTTACTGCTAGTATACTACCAGGTAGAATTGACAAAAAGGCAATGGAAATCAGTACTTTCACCATTATGGTGATTCAATCAACTTAAAACTGGGAATGTACTTAGGGTCATCCCAGTGCATATAATTATCCAGTGGCTCTGGACTAGGTGGGGCTGAGTCAAATTTGCTTAACAACTTATGCTTTGGAGGAGACAGATCTTCAATCAGCAGCTCAGGCATCTGCCCAAGTTCGGAGCACCTTGGAGGACTCTCATGCTGTAACAGAAGTAAACTAGCATTCATTAAGGCAATCCATATGGTAAATGCTAGTAAGCTTGTGAACAAGAACTAAGATGAGACAACTCAATTGAGATGAAAAATGACCTTCATTTTGTTTGACATTTGAGGTTCCTTTGCAGATGCAGACTGTTTCAAGAAATCTAAACAAAAACATACATAAAAATGTAAGTATCCAGCCAAAAACTAAGTCCAATAGATATCTGAATAAATATCAACTTTATTTACCATCTAATCCAAGTATCTGCAAAAATTGATTTGTGCTCAGTGCTCTTCTCTGTGCTTTGATGCATTCTTCATGATTATGCAAAAATCCTTCCCCTGCAATATCTTTGGGTTGAGGTGGATCCTCTGCCAAAATGTTTAGCTTTGCAATTTGATTCTTCCTTGATGTCTCCTGCAAATGTGGCTTACCTGAGTTTGAAATGTCAGAGAGAGCTTTTCTGCCACCAGTTTGCACTTTCTCTGAGGCCTTAGAGACACTCTTCTTTTTGCTTGAATCATGTGTAAGTTTAGAGGCACCAGTCTCTTTCTCAGCAAATGAAAAAATTTTAGAATTCTCCTTTTTTGATGTCTGGTTTGGGGTCGGGTTCACTGAATTTGATAGATCACCAAGTGGTTTCCTTCCACCAATACCGCCTTTCCTCGGCGCTTTAGAGATATTTGCCTTGCCCACAACAGAAGCACCTGTAGAAGGCTCTTGCAAATATCAACCTCAAGTTCAAGAAAAGTAAGTAAACTAAAAACAGATCAGAAAGTGTGAGGAGTATTACCATTGTGGTGAACATTAAAATTCTGATCTTGAATGAAGCCAACAGTACGTGATGCCATCTGAGCAATGCTAATAGAATCCAAACCTCTTCTATAAAAGGTAATACCTATGAGATGTCCAATGCATAGAAAAGGGAAGAAAAGTCATAGTCTAAGAATGCAAGAGGTATGAAACTCAAACAGCATCCAGTTCACAGAAAAGATCAACCAAAAAAATATATGAAAAGAGATGGGGGAAAATCAAACAAGTGATGGGAGAGAAAACATGCTAAATCCACAATATAGTCTAACAGTTTCTCATAAGGGATTAGAAGATGTCATGTCAAAGCTTCAAACTAAAAGACACCCCAGATATGAATCTGTTTAAGGTAGTTAGGTCCCAAATGGTAAACACCTTATCCAACCAACTGAAGATTAGATGATTCTCCAGTGAGAATGTAGCTTCAAATATATGCCTCTAATCAAGTACCATTTGCCATCTATGTTGACTAAAATAGTCTAATCGATTACAGCAGTCATCCAATCAGACTATTAAACAAACCAAACAAAAACAATGCAACAACCAGATAAAAAGCTCAAGCAAAGAATGCCAAGTACCTGAGTTGCCAATATATTTCCTCTCAGTCTTATCATACGGTACTTAAATAAGGCTCTAGCTTTTATTGTAATTCCACTTTAAAGCATCATCAATTGCTAGAAAAATTTCCCAAAAGTAAACTCTGAAGCACATAAAAGAGTCTTACTCATCTAATTAGTCCAAAATGCAATCAGACTATTAAACAAACCAAACAAACACAATGCAACAACCCGATAAAAAGCTCAAACAAAGAATGCCGAATACTTGAGTTGCCAATATATTTTCTCTCAGTCTTATCATAAGGTACTTAAATAAGTCTCTAATTTTTATTCTAATTCCGGTTTAAAGCATCATCAATTGCTAGAAAAATTTCCCAAAAGTAAACTCTGAAGCACATAAAGAGTCTTACTCATCTAATTAGCCCCAAATGAAACATGTAACAGCCAAACCTCGATTTACAAACCCAAAAAACTGTCAATTTATAGGGAAACATGTAGCAAACAGGAAGAACCAAAATTTTAACTTCTTTGATAATCCCAAAGGACAAACAACTAAATCAAACAAGTTCAAATAGTTTTTAAATGATCCATGGTCCTTTTTGTTGAAGGTGTTAGTGCTGATAAAAAAAATTTCTATAATTTAGTAATTCTACTTTCTGTTTTGTACTTTCCACTTCAATCAATTACGTAAACCCTAAGTCATCAAATCACTCCCTCCCCCGCCCCACAAACCCCCAATTAAAAAAAAAGGCAAAAATCCCGGAAAGGAAGAAAAGAAATTTACGCTACTGCTAACCTATGGGCGAGTCTTGGTTTATCCCTTCCTTTTTCCCATCATTTCTCAACAGCCAAACCTAATTCTTTGTTTTTACGCTTTTCCATTTAAAACAATTCAACCCCACTTCACCATTTTCCACCTTAAGTTAATAAAAGAGAATTAAAATTTTTTCAAATATTTAAATAAAGTTTTCCGAAAATAAAAGATCTCACTTTTCTCTCTCAACCATTAAAGTTATACACAATATTTCTCTTGAAAAAAAGAACTTCATCAAGAAAATAAATAAAAAAACTGAAACTGTAAAAACTCACAATGGGTTTTTAATGAATCAATCTTCTGCTCGCTTCTTTTTTGGAATTATCTTCCTCTTGATCTGCACTTTGCTTTCTTTGTTGAAATTTTTTTATTTCTTTAAACTATTTCGATTATGTTTACTTTCGAAAAATAGAGAAAGAGTCGATTTATGCTTTATAGAGAAGAGCCTAGAGTTGCAACGGTAACTTGTTTCGGTTTTACAAGGATACCCCTTTGTTGGACGTATAATTGCAGAAAGCTTTTAGGCCTTCGAATTGGGCTGTGGGCTCGATCCATCAGAAGTTCAAATCTATTGAGCAGTCTCTTTAAGAATAGATTAAGGCCCATGTTTTGGGCTTCCTAATCCACAAAAGAATGCATTCCACCCCTCACAATTAGGGAACAAATCTCTTAATCATGATAAATATTATATTATAAAAATGATAGGTATGATAATATTATATTAAAAATTAGTAACTTGTTATTGGCCTAAGTTCGTGAGTCCGAACAGTTTTCATTTTCAGTTCAACTTAACTTGAAATATTAGTGTTAGTAATATTAACATAATAAAAAAATTATTTTAAATACTTGTTTTATTCTCTTTAAGCTTCTTCAAACAATATTATATTAAAAATTTTTTTAGGAAAAGAGAGAAAGAAAAACTTTGAATAAGGACAACAACTATTTCTATACTAAGCTTTAAATAAAGAAATAAAAGGAAGTAGGCAGCAATTCCTTTGCGGGTATCTTCAGCCACACTAGAAAGGTAGATTTAGCCAATGTTTTTTTCCTAGTAACGGAAATACGGATCGTGATAGAAAACCCTTTCTCTTCAGCTTGACTTTTCTCAAACGCAACTCCATACTTTTCTATGCAATTTCTTAGAAGCTGCCTACCTTTGCCTTTTCTATGGGCAACTTTGCAATGACATTTTCCTCTCTCACCTAAAACACTGGCACATCCCTGGGGAAATATTTTTCAAAAAAACAAAGATGGTATTTTTTGTTATTAAAAAAAATTAAAGTTTTATTTGATTTAGAGGTGTTGTTTTCATGCTTTAAAAATGACTAAACGACTTCATATGTAATTATGTAGACACTTTCATTCCAAATGTGTGACTTAAAAAGATAAAATTAGATACGTATAACTAATGAAAGGTTTTTTTTTTTTATGGTATATTTCTCAAGTTCAATTTTGAATATATAAAATTGCATCTATTGTCTTTAAAGTTTGATTTAAATATCATTTTTGCTCTTAAATTTTACATATTTATTTATCATCTAATAAATATTTATACCGAAATTCTTTTGTTAATCTAAGCACCAGTTGTACGTACGTTAATTTGTGAGTTAAAGGGTTAGAAGGACAGAAGGATTACTTGATACAAATGGAAAGTCTAACGATAAAAATTTGATATTGCAAAATAGGAGGATGAATATGACACTTTGGGTTAAATTTTAGGAGCAATAAATGGAATTTACTCTTTAAGATCCAAATATTAGGGTATCTCAATAAGTATAAATTTTTTATAAAAAGTCAATTCCGAGTGAGATTGTTTACTTGTTTAAGGGGATATATCATAGGGGTTGCTAGCCCAATGACTGAAAGAAACCATAAGAAGCAAGATACATGGTCTATTTAGGTTGGACTCAAGTTTGATATTTCCCACTCGACATGGGAAATTCTACAGGAAAAGCCCTGGAAAACCCTCAAGGAGAAGAAGATGATGAATCTAGCTTCACTTGCAAGATCTGCATCGAACCGACATCGCCAAGCAAGAAATTCAAGAATGCAAACATCTGTAGACACGCTTTCTGCCAAGATTGCATAGCCAAGTACATAGAAGTTAAGGTCCAGGACAGCACAGCGAAAATCGATTGCCCCGAACCAAACTGCCAATTCCATTTAGATCCTCTCATATGCAGGCCAATGATATCGCCAGACCTATTTTCTTCATGGTCTGATCTTTTGTGCGAGAGTTCTCTTCTAGGGTCTGAAAGAAGCTATTGCCCCAACAGGAACTGCATGGCTCTGGTGCTGAATGAGTGTAGAGGGAATGTGAAGAAATCAAAATGCCCCAACTGCAAGCAACTGTTTTGTTTCCAGTGTCAAACTGTGTGGCATGCTGGTTATCAGTGTGAAGAGAGTGAGCAAATGAGGGATAGGAATGATGTTCTTTTCGGGCAGCTTGTTGAGAGAAAGAAGTGGACTAGGTGTCCTGCTTGTGGTCATTGTATTGAGCGTCTCCTAGGTTGCTCTCTTGTTAAATGCAGGTTTGATCTCTCTCTCTCTCTCTCTAATACTTCATCCTTTAATTACAGACTGCATTTGTGATTTTAAAAAGGGTCAATCAAATTATATTAAATCCTTTCCTTCAGCCAAGGATATTGGGATTTAGCTCTGTTTTGATCTTGGTGTTATTTTTGTTTACAATCATAGCTGGTTAATCAACCAAGTTTAGAATCGGTTAGATTCATCAAAATCATTGTTTTGAAATTCAAAGTCAAGATGGAGAGTTGAATGATAGGGGAGCAACATGGGAGTAACAGTAAGATAACTTAGTATGAAAATGAAAATGATAATGATATGCTCTTTCACACTTTCCAAACCTTCTCAGTTAAGGACCCAAAATTTGCACTATGATGAAAATTAAAATATTGTTATAATTAATTTGTTCTTTTGATGTTTAACTGTTAAAGAAAAGCTAGAAGTAAAGTTTGTCTTGAATTTGAATATCAAGATTCAGCAATGCAGTTGAATTAACTTCTTGGAGTTGGGACCCTTAATTTAAGCAAATTGACAGCATCTTTCGGATTCATATTAGACAGCCTTGCTTCATACGTTTGTCCTTTGTGTCCTTTTATATTGCCTTTTTCTTCCATTCATAATTACTTTTGACTTGAAGAGGTCTTTCTCTATTTCTTTCCGGATGCTGCTGGGAAGTGCTACATTACCATTTGAGGTTTTTTTTTTCTTTTCTTTTTAAAATAGATCAAAGGAAACTGTGGGGATACTAACATCCATCAATGGACTAATAAGAAACAGAGGATTCTTTGTTGTTTGTTTGTTGGGGAGGGTTATGATGGGCAGAGAAACTAAAGAGGAAGAAAGCAATGGTATTAACATTGTTGATGATGATGGGGTGCAGATGCAAGACAGAGTTTTGCTACCAGTGCGGGAAAAAGTTAACGAGCAGGGGATGTGGATGCAAGCTCAGTTTGGGAAATATGATGATGGATGTCAACCTGTATCCTCTCCTGTATATAGTTGTGGTCTTCCTTTTCGTTATTGTTTGGCTTAGTGTGCACTCTGTTTCCTTGAGAGGCAATAATGGATGACCATATGTGTATATTTTACTCTTGCATTAACATTTCACCCTTCTTCAACTCAAACATAATATGTATATGCTTGTTTAGTCTTTGATCAACATGTATTAACTTTACCTCTCTTTTTTTAACAACAATTTGAGGAAATCTGAGGGCTTCTTTTTTTAAAAAAAAAAAAAACAGAATGAAAAGAGAAATGCATTTAATTATAGAATGTGGATATGTACCTATTTTTCAAAGAGATATTGTTCACTTCGATTGTTTTAAATTTAAATTTATTTAAAAAGAATAATTAAGATGTATGAAATATAAAGATAACTAATTTCTTTATATAAGTTTAAAACGCAATAAATTTTTTATATATATAAAAAACACAAAAACACACTGAAGCTTTTGATAAAAAATTTTAAGACTCTAGAAGTCAAAATTTGATTATAAAAAGTCAAATTCAAACATTATTTATGAGACAGATGGAGTAGTTGATTTTTTATAACTAAAAGAAATCAATGAACAAAAATGGACTTTAATCTCTTCCAGAATTTTGTTTCATTTCATGGATTTGCTGTTATCTAAAAAAATATCCAAGGAAAATGCATAGGAAGGGAAAGTTGCTTCATGTTTTGGTCAACTTTAGACATCACTTCACATTGCTCCAATGCGCCTCCCTCTCAAGTAACAACTTTCGCAATTACAAAGAGAATGGCCACACACAAGCCTACTGGCGGTTGTAGACAAGACTCGTCTATCCTATCAAGATCAAAACATTCAGCTTATTGCCTCATTGACCACAACCGAACAGGCAGTAAAGGGTCCGCAAAGCTAGAGAGACTGTTTCCCTAAACATATGAACATTGCGCAAGGCATAAAACATCAAAAGGAAGGGACTGACCCCTACAGCTCCAACAAGAAGCTCAGAACAGAACCAACCCGCTCCCTAGAATCCCGATCTCCGCAGCAGTCCTAAAGCAAGTCCATGCATCCCCCAGGAAGAAAGCTTAGAATTAACTTTATATACATATATATATTTCTCTATCTAATATAGAAGATTTATCAATATACAATTCAGATTCTCTTCACTTTTCTTTTCCTCTGTTAGAACTAACCGAAGCTATATTGGCAGGAGTGTCGCAGGAATGAAGAAGATCGAGAATTGGTGAAGGCTGTATTCAGTCGAAGCTGTTGTTTTTTTTCGTTTCTTTCATTTTCTTGGCTGCCAAAAGCTGCAATTGGATTTTTGATATTTGGCATTTACGTGCACGGTTGCTGATATAGATCTGAGGTTCTCTGATTAAAGCTTCAATTTTGGTATTGACTACGTAGTTTGCTTCTCGATACGCCAAGATGGTTGTACTCGCTGCTTCTATTATAAGCAAATCTGGCAAAGTGCTTGTCTCCGAGCAATTTGTGGACATGACTCGCATAAGAATTGAAGGTCTGCTTGCGGCTTTTCCTAAGTTGGTGGGCACAGGAAAGCAACACACATATAAATGTTGAGACTGAGAATGTGCGTTATGTTTATTAACCAATAGAAGCTCTTTATCTGCTACTTGTAACAAACAAACAGAGCAACATTATTGAAGATTTGGAGACCCTAAGACTGCTCTCCAAGCTGATACCTGAATATTCTGACTCTCTAGATGAGGAGGGTACGTATTGGCAAGACTGATATAGAGCTGACCTTTGCTTGTTATGAAGTCATCTGTCTTGGGCACAAGGAAAATGTGACTGTTGCACAGGTTAAGCAATACTGTGAAATGGAGAGTTTGAAGAGAAGTTGCACAAGCTGGTATTGCAGAGCAAGATAAATGAAACTAAGGAAGTCATGAAGCGTAAAGCTAGTGAGATTGGGAAGAGCAAGATTGATAAGAAGAGAGTTGATAAAGGAGGGTTCATGTCAATGGGCTTTGGAAGAATTGAAAGTAGCTTTAGTGATATGAGCATTTCTAGTAGCGGAAGTGGTTCTGGGTTTGGATAAACCACTGAAGTTGATTCCTTCTCTACCAAGCCTAAAGGCCGCCAACCTCCATCTGCAACTGCTCCTCCTAAAGGTCTTGGCATGCAGCTTGGCAAAACACAAAAAACAAACCAGTTCTTGGCATCCCTGAAGGCAGAAGGTGAACTGATAGTCGAAGATGTGCAACCAAAGGCAGGCCAGACCAGAGTGGCCGCACCTCCCCCTACTGATCCCATCACTTTGACCGCCGACGAAATCCTCAACGTCACACTGAAAAAAGATGGTGGAATCAGTAACTTTGATGTTTAAGGGAACTAAAAAAATTATGATACGACGGAGTTATAATACAACAGTGTTTCTTAGTTAAATTACACTACCTTAGTATTATACTATAATACTGTAAGATTAGTCTTTTATTTATATATATATTTCTATGTAACATCCATGATCTAAGATTTATCAATATATTTTCAAGGCAATGTTCCTCCTTGTTTGGGCGCTGTGTATGGTGTTTAACAATTTTAGACGTGCCCGACAATATTCACTTTTTGGAGGATTACCCGAAGAGTTGGCCATGAGTAGCTTATTTAGCGTTTTCTTAGCCTGCCAAATAACATTCTGAGTGGGAAAATCTTTCCTGCAATATTTCGCCCTAATATGCCGACGGAATTATATTTGGATGGTAACAACTTTGATGACAGATGCCTCATTTTTCACCCATTACATTCCGATGGAATTATGCAATCTGGTGGCTCCAGATATTGTACTTTTGGGGGAAAATAGAATGAGTGGAACGCTGATACAAGGCTACTCATCCAGTAACTCTGCACTGATCGGCACTTTATCAAATTTGAACATACTTCTCCTAAAAGCTAATAACTTGAATGATGAAACCCCCTTCCAGTTATGCACATTAAGCACATGTCAAGCATCGTGAATCTTTCTCGAAATAAGCTTTCTGGTCGTAAACCTTCTTGTTTAACTCTTAGGTCAGGGAATACATCTCTAAAAGACTATACCATTCTTCGCTTTCCTCGTTTGGACCAAGTATTGGCAGACATGGGGCTGACAGGTTATGATTTCACGGATCATGGATTTCCTAGATCCTACATCATATTCGCGTAGTTTCGTCCATGAACATGAAGAAACAGTGTTTGGAATTAATGCAGACCGGGACCCACACATACCAGGGTGAATTTCTGGAATTGATCTGTCTCGCAACCGATTGACAGGCTCAATCCCATCCGATTTGGGATACTCAGGAGTGAAATCCGCTCACTAAGCTCGTCCCACAACAATCAAACTGGACCTATGCCCTCAACTTTCCCTAAGCCCAAGCCGATTGAGGGTTTTGGACCTTTCCGACGATAACTTAAATGGCATGCTCCCGCCTAAATTGACTGAGCTGAATTATCTTGGTTGTATTCACTGTCGCACACGACAACTCGTCAGGGCCTCTTCCAGATAGGAAAGCTCACTTTGGGACCTTCAACGATAGCAGTTACTAGGGAAACAGTTATACCGAGTCTGATTCACCAGGAACGCCACATGCTTCTCATCATGGTCAAGAAGAAGGTGGTTTGATAGACATGGGTCAGATTTGTGGTTTCCTATGTAATTATATTGTTGGGAATTGCCATTGTCCTATGCAACGATATCTACATTTTAATATGGTTCACCCCTGCTATCAGTATATTAGAGGCAAAGACACTCTTTAAGATACCTCCCGTCTGCCGTATTCACTCATTATAAATGTTTGGCATGTATGTGATCATATATTAATATTATCAAGAAAACAAAGTATTTCCGCTTTTACATTTTCTAATGCATAAATTCGTAATATCTTTGAATTTGTTTAGATCTTGGAGTTGAAGGTTTTCTTTATTGTGAAGATGGTGCTGGAATATGAAATCAGGTAAGAGTTTTAGTACTGTCCACTAGTTGTCTCTGCTGGAATGAGACGTACATATCGTGTATATAAACAATGCTACATTATAAATTTACAAATAAAACAGAGTATATATCATAGAGGTTAAAAGATTGTGCTTTGAGTTCAGAAAAATTGCCCTTTCTTTGGTCATTTTCAGTTGTGAAAAAGTAAATGCAAGTTCAATGGAAAGATTTCATGGGGATGCTTCCCACCTGCACGTGCCAAATATTCTCTTTTGCATTTGGAAGCAATTTAAAAAGATAAACGAAAATGGCTTAAGTGTACTTGCTCAATCGAGTGAATAGATTAATAATCGAGACAGTACATAGTTCAAGCCTAGCATATATTGGCCTTACAAAGTAATTGCCAAGAACCAAACAGTACACAGGCATTTACAGACACATAAAATCACAAGTGCACAGCCCAAAACAACCCCTTAAAACAAGACAAACAATGCAAAAAATGGAAACAGATCCACCTTCTCATTGAGACAGGATTGCTTTACAAATTTTATAAAGCAATAGTAACGAAGAACCTTCAGCCTGGACAGGGACTCAATACCAAGAATTACTACCGACCCATTTTAGAAAACACTAAGATGATTACCATATCCTTTAACAGTGAAGATAGAGAACAAAAATAAAAAAATCTATGAAGGAAAGGGACAATGGTCGTTTATCCTGTTCTCTTTATCCCATATTTCTCTTCTACGAAGTTAGTTTTCATTTTAATGGTCATGTATTCCTTTTATCATTGCTTTTCTTCTTGATCGATGGCTAAAATTTAGCTCATAAGTTCATCAAAGCTCAAGGTTATTAAGGTCCCTGTGTTCTTATGAATTAAGGTATTTTCATTGTCATGTATTTCTTAATTTCATCATGATCAGCCTAGCTAATGCCTCCTAGGAAATTTGAAATTTAGACAAAAGTTAATTACTGGTAAAAACTGAGAGATGGTAATTCGATAAAATGATCAGGATAATAATAGACTTTTAGAAGCAGTCATCGTCAACTACCTACCTAACCCACCCCCACCCTGCATGGGCAGGGCTGCTGTTCACATAAGAATGTCTACATACAGATGAAGTTTATTACATGACTCCAACTCAATCTGCTTAAGCCTCAAAAAACTTACTTTCCATCGGTAATTAGCATTAAAAAAGGGTGATAAGATTTAAGTTTATCTGAACTAATTGATCAACTTGTGAGGTCTTAGTGTGAAAGTGAAGCCTAGTATACTTACCATTTTCCTGGAGGAAGCAGGAATTGGAAGATCTCACACGACACCGGACGTCCAAACCGACGCCAAATTAAGGCCAAAACAGCTGTTAACACCAACGCGTGGCACATGGCAACATGTTTACTAGCATCCCACCTGGCAAACGTTGAATGTGTTTCCAGAAGCGCAGTCGCTATCCAAGGATATACGTCAGTCAAAGGACAATCTCACATTAATTTGGCATGATCTGTATGAAATAATATTCTAAATGAAAATAAATAATAAATTAATGTCAAACTCAAGATCGTCCATGTGTCTCACATAACAGATGTAGAACCTACATTAATGAAGTGTTTTAAATGTTATTTATAAAAAAAAAAAACCTAAATAGAGTATTCAAGTTAATTACTCATTTCATTTTTTATTTGATTTTTACAGAAAAAAATTTGATATTATTGTCTTTTATGTTATAATTTTAAAAATCTTAATAAAAGAATGGTGTTAAAAAGGTTAAAAATTCTTAAAAATTTTATTTAAAAATTCAAAGAATAAAAATATTAATTATTGAAAGATAACGGACTTTGGAATATTAACAAAAAATATGAACAGAATAAAGAGACGAAATGAGCAAATTAAATTATCATCAATACCTAATCTTTTATGATGTGTCTTTATTTCAAAGTAATAAATAGGCTTCCCTGCAGAAAATTCATTGAGATCCATTTGGATCGCAGATATTTAATTATCTATCAGTTCATCTTGTAAATATCAAAAACCATACTTGAAATCTAACTTGAAAACCGGCATAGTTGTCAATATTGCATTATACGTTGTTCATATTGTACAATACATTAAATGTATCCTTCAATGCACAATAAGTATTGTACAATATACCGTATAATACAATGGATTTTTATGAACTTTATCCTACCTAACTATTAAAAATTTACTTTTTATTTTTTTTAGGTTAAAAGTGAAAAACTATATATTTTCGTAGATTCAACCTACAATTTAAAAATTGGACAAAAAAGTAAGAATAAAAATAAACTCAGCTTTTGCTTCAACATGTTAAATATTTTTTAATTTTTAGTTAATAAATTAACATGTAAAATGCATGTTTTATTTAAAAATATACTATTATCTTGAGAGTTTAAATTAAAACAATTATCTTTTCATTTATACCATATAATCTTCAATTCTATTAATAAATATAAACTTTTTAAATTTTTTCATTTTACATATATATATTATTTATAGTTAATTTTAAATTTTTTATCATATAAGATATGATATTTGATATTCAAAAATAAAATTTTGATACAAAAATATGTAGTTTAATATAACAACTATAAAAAATTAGTGAAAGCAAATGAGGTTAGTATAGGGCATATTATATTAGATTATTAGTGATGAGACTCACACTTCCATTGCTTTGAAACCACGTAGGCAAAGAATATCTTACACTAACTCAAAAGACCAAAAAAGTAAGAAAAAGATAGCCCAACCTTCTTGAGCTAAGGAAGGAAAGAATATGAAATCTTATTAAAATAATCAAAACCAAAAAAATTAGGCAAAGGAGACTCCAATCAAGTGTATGAGAAAGTCAAAATGCTAATTAAATTAACTATTAAGGATCAATCGCCCAAAACGCATGAAACAATGGACTCAGACTGCCTAACTGCAAAACATATATAAATGCCCATCAATGCTTGATTTGATATTTTTCTACATTACAATCTGACCTTGTGGAGGAAAAAGTTTTCCAAATTGAATGGGAATTCTTGGAAGCAAGATAGTTTAGTCTCTCCACTAATCGTTATCACGTGAATTTGGCGAGCAATAAATAACAATTCATTCATATCTCCCTCCTTTAGCTTAGCTTATTTAAGGAACAATAAAGAAATTTAGGCTCCACGCTTTTATTAGCCTGCTTTTAGTTGTTGGGTTGCTGCTACCATGGGCTATTTGTGTTCATTTTGATTGCTTTGGTCTGGTTTTTTTTTTTTATTTTTTGAGTCAAATTAAAAACCAACTCAGAGAAGAAATCTGCAAATTTTTCGGCGTGGCTGAAAGAATTCTCAATTATGGAGGTGGAATCATCAGGAAGGAAGAATGCGAAATCAATGGATGAACCAGCCAGTTCAGCCGCCAGGGCCATCAGGCGCAGGCGTAAATGCAGAAACATCTGTTTTGCCGTGATCGCTGTTCTGTTATTCATCATAATCCTGATAGTGATCCTTGCTTTCACCGTTTTCAAGGCCAAACGCCCCGTCACGACTATCGACTCTGTCTCCTTAGCCAACCTGAAGTTTTCCCTGGATGTGGTCAGACTCCAAGTGTTGCTGAACGCTACCCTGGACGTGGATCTTACAATCAAAAACCCAAACAAAGTTGGGTTCAAGTACACCGACTCGTCTGCCCAGTTGAATTACAGGGGCCAGCAGGTAGGCGAGGTTCCAATCCCAGCTGGCAAGATGCCTGCAGACGCAGCGGCTCCCATGAACTTGACGCTGACTCTCATGGCGGATCGATTGGTCTCGGATTCCAAGTTTTTCTCTGATGTTTCGGGTGGTGAATTGCCTCTCAACGCTTTTGCTAGGATTCCAGGCAAGGTTAATGTGTTGAATCTGTTTAAGATTCATGTTGTTTCGTCCACTTCCTGCGATTTTACTGTCTTTTTATCTAATGCAACTGTTGGGGACCAAGACTGCAAGTATAAGACAAAATTGTAATGCTTTCATTTTTCTCTTTTTGGATTATACATTTTGCTTGTACTTATATCCAGTCTAAACGGGAGCTTGCTTTGTAGCCGTATTCTCACTGTCCTTTTCACATTTTACCCCTTTTTTTTTTATTTTCCATAAATAGAGATGTTGTAGATGTTATTTTCTTTGGAAGTTGCGAATAAAATTTATTATACACATATAAATTTTCTAGTCCGAACCTGGTATATTTCAACAAATGCGGGTTTCTTCATGTAAATGAGTTTCTTGTTTCACTGAATTTTGTCTCAAACTCTACCTAATTATTTCCCCCTCAAGTGCAAAATTCCTTCTCCATTAGTTTTTTTTCCCCTTAATTGGATAACAATTAATTTCTCAGCTTGTAGAATTTTGAATGCTTTGGTATTTACTCCTTTATCCCTTCATTTCACAACCAATGAGTTCTGTCGATTCTTGCAAGTCATGCCTTCATCCTGCTGCTGCAACCAGGCTACTGAGCCATTATACTGGTGACAATCATTCTGTGGTAGAATTTTTCCTTCTTCATGAAGCAATACGATTGATGAACAGCAAACCTTTGAGTCTCGCATGTTTGATGGCTTGAAGAACTGGATTGTCCCAATGATTAATTATGTAGTGGAAGAACAAGGACCTTATAAACAGGTAATCCTCCTAACTTTGTCTTGGCTAATGTGTTCTTGAATATGGATGACTCTTTATAGATTAATATTAATGCTTTTGTTCATGATGTAATAGATGCCTTGTGAAATGTAGAGCACAGGATGGGGTTCTTTGCAGAAAGTCATTTTTTGAAGAACTTAACTCAGGTGTTAATCTTTAACTCGTGACTTGTATTAGAATCCTGAGCTAACTGCTTGTTCACTTCTGAGCTTCAGTTGCAAGAGTGAAACATCGATTGAATGGTTAGGAATTCCTTCCATATGTGAGATATGGTTGGCTTTTCTTTTACAGTGTTTCTTGACCCCAAAAATTAAATTTTCTGGAGTTCTCATACATTGAGATCTATGGTGATAGTCAGGTGCAATTAAACAGATTTCTAAAGCTCTTACTGATGTCTACTATGAGTATGCAATTGATCCCCGCAAGTTGACAACAACTGCTTCACCCTGCGGTGATTCTAGTTGTTCAACATCACACAGTGCTGGTTACTATATGCTGGACTCCTTTAGGAAATATGCATCTGCAAGCAGAGCTATGAGGTGGCATCTTGAAGTCAGAGTTTGATTGAAGAGCCTTTGCTTTGCTTGGAAACAGTGTTCTTTGACAAACTAGGTTGGTGGCCTCAGATTCCCTACACTTGGTGGGGATGGCTCACGATGTCCTTGCAATACCTGTAACACTTGTTCCAACAATATCCTGCTTATGCTGCTGCATATAATGGAAAATCCAGCCTTTAGGACCTGAATTCTGAGATCATGGATGCTCTGGTTTGCGAGCAGGACAGGATGGAAATGTCTGAAGGAAGTAAGTGCAATTTTCAGATTGTTCATATATTCTAATCTCATAAGCTTCTGCCTCTGTTTTCCTACTTATGGTGAGCAAATAATTATTTGTATTAGCTAGCATGCTTTGAAATTCTCTAATTTTATAAATTTTTGGACTGTTATGCAGTCTCAGTCAGAAACAATCTCTACCAGGTACTATCTCTTTCCATAACAGATCCAAAAATCTTCATTCAATTGAAGCATTAAATAGATGTCTTTTATGTGCTTGATCCATGCAATCCAGTTTTTACGTATCTATGCTCTTTCTCGTAAATAGTAATCTAACAATGGCCAAAAAAGGTGTAATATTAAATCATTTCCCCTTTGGTTTGGTGTACGTTTTAGTTTTAATGACCAGTACGGGGTCATTTTCAGAAGTAACCCATTTTACCTTTTACCTCTGAATTTTGATTGTTGGGATCTGTTTTCCTCTTAGGTAATGCTGCCTTTCTGTCATTAGTAACAGATTTTGGTAACAGCAGTACTCAAGTTGATTCTTGATGTCTATTGGTCTACCGCATATGATTATTTCTGAGAACACCTCTCTGCCACTGTGCTAACTTGCATATATTGTATTCTTTTTACTTTTTTTTACAAAAAAAAAAAAAAACTAAATGCTCAGAAAAGAAACAATCAATTTGCATACTATATGTGGATTACTGAATTGCATGTTTGTTTAGCTCTTGTTTACTGCTTTCTGTTTCAGATATCCTTTGGCTCTGCCTTTCTTGCACGTGTGTAATGGCATTTATGATGTTTTTGAAATTTACATGGTTGGTTTCAAGAATTTTCAAAATGGAGCATACTTTAGTTTTAAATTTTTTCTTCATAGGATATAATAAATAGCAGGTTTGGAAAATCATATTGTAATTACATATCATATCCAAATGTTAGTTATTAGCATGCCATCATGCAGAACTTATGGTCTTTATTATTGTAACAAGACATTCTTGTTCAACACTGAAGACAACTGTAGGATGGCAATTTTAACTTTTACAGCTGCTGGTGCAAGATAATAGAACAAATCATGCACTGGTGGCAAGTTTGGTACGTGGATTTAATATGGGTGATCAGTTAAGGTTTTTACCCATATTATAGGCACTCAGCATAAACAACTGAGTTACTTTTTTTAAGCATTTTGATATACCACAGGCTAAGAGAAAGATGGAGCAGAGGACATATGTGGTAGTGAAATGCAAAGATTGCTGGAATTGTGATGCTGAAGAAACTAGTATCCAAGCAAAGCCAAAGCTGCATAAAGAAGGTAGCTGAATCATTTTGCATTATTTACTATGGCAAACTATGGCAAAAAGAGTCTACTTATGAGTTCTACTTGAAATTTGCAGATAGAATTTTTTTATTTGACAATGTTCAGCACTTGAGAACCTACAAAACATCAGATATTCCAACTAAAACAATTTTGGGTTCCTCATTCCCTATCAAAAGCCATTCTAACTATTGAAAATAACTCACTTTACCATCAAGAGGATATGGTTAAGATAAGCACATTTAATTTAGAAACTGATAATGCAGGAGGCATCAGTAGCCTCACTTAACATCAAATGAGAGTTGTGAACGGTTTAGAGTTTCTGTCCTCCACTTCTGAGTCTGGTGATGAGACAACTTGGAGCAAAGAATTGCCAAGGGAGCAGGGAATATGGTCTAACAAGGTTTTATTCCACATTTTTCACAATTAATTGCATACCTTATATACTTCTTACTTTTTTTCTTTTTAATTTTTTGAAATAGTGCGTACATTATAAAGTATAGAAAGACATTATTATGTTATGCTTGCTTGCAATTTTGATTGTGATAGGATGTTCAGCATATTTAATCTCACCTTATACAGAGAAGGAGAATACATGATAAATTTGATGGCAAAGTCTTGTAATGAGTTGGTATGCTATGATTAGCTTTGATATGTCATATAAAGTGACTGTCACCCAGGTATGAAGTTTATTTTTGGAAGAAATCCTGCTGGATGAGATTGGATGTTGAACGTGGTGGATACAACATTAGGGCCATTACTCACTATCCATTGTGATACTGAATTTTGACAACAGTAATATATATTCAGCAAGTAATCTTAAGTGGTCCGGAAGATCGCCATAGCCCAGCTTGGGTTATGAAAATGCAAATGACTGGCAAAAGAAGTAAACACTTCTTAAATTTTAGGACTTTTCAGCATTTGATTCTAATGTCTTATTCTGTACCATTGCCTACATCTTACCATCAATCTTTGGTTTAATGTGACAACTCGCTTGATTGTGTACCTTTTGTTATGAATTATACCGATTGCCTTATACATTGGTGATTGTTTCTCTTTTTGGCTAGAAGACATGGCTCACTTTCTGCATCCTACATTTCTGAATATAACAAGAGAAGTATACATTTGAGCTGACTTTATATGCGAGAATTCTTATGTTTGGACTTATAACTGACTTTTGTTTGGTTTGAGAAATATTGGAGAAAAGATAATTTGAAGAGAGAAACTATAGAAACACAAACACTCTGCTCATATTGTTTGAGCAACTGCCTCCTCCTGATCATTGTGATTGTTTAAATATGGTTGGAGTCAAATCATATTTACTTTTCCACTGAAACTGTTGCTTAGATGAAGAATTGGTTTCTCAGTCATTTGGTCTCCTCCTCCAAAGCAATAGTCAACATAGGGGGTGGTCATCCTTCTGACTTTGATGACATGGCTGCTGTCCTGTTTAATGGCACAGTATAGTAGCAACAAGCTATGGAGACGGTTTCTTGGGGCACAAACTGGTAGATGGGAAGGTAACAGCGAACCGAGTACTCAATGATACTAAGGACGTACAGGCCTTCCTAAATGAGTGGAACATGCTGCTTTTGCAGTTTTAGAAGACTATATTTTTTTCCAATCAAAATAAAATAATTTTATTAATATCAGAATACTGATGTAATTGCATATATTCTAATAAAATTGAGATACATATATACCTGGGGAGAAGAGTCAGAGCATACTCATCAGAGTTTCGCCCAAAATACTCGTTAAAGCAAGCACGTCATTCTCAACACACACTAATATCAATGCCATGTTTAATTGAAGAAATTCAAATAAATATTAAGTCTAGCATATAAATTTATTAAAAATGATATTAATAAATATGATAAATATAGTTTTCAATAAATAAGTTTCACATCTTCACGTGAGTAATATATATTTTGTAAGGGTAAAATTTTGGGGCTACAATATTGCTATACAAACCAAAAAGGAAATAAAATATAAAGAGAACACTTGTTTTTTCATGTAAACGTAACTTGATAATTAATACTATTATTTTTTTTTTAAGTAAGAGAATAATTTTCAAACTAATTATGGTAAGTGTATATTTCATCAAATCTCATGATTTTTTATTTTTTACCTTATATTTTTTTCCAAAAAAGAACCCTAGAATATTTTATACCTAATGGAACCCTAGAATATATTGTTATATAAGGGTTGTTAACTTTGCCCACATTAAAACTTAAAGAAAAATTTATAGAGAGAAGAAGATACATTCCTTGAGAATTGAAAACAATGTGGAACTCACAAGGTACGTAACTTTGTTGTAAGTTGGTTTGCCTATATATTATTTTGTATTCTTGTTTCTATTCTAGTGCATTGATCTAGTATCAACCTATGAGGGAAAAAAAAACCAAGTAAATTACAGTTTAACAATCAAATTTATCAGAATAATTAATAATTTTAGAAGGTTTGCAAGATAGCATTACTGTCTTCATCAAGCTCAATATAACTGGACAAGGACATTCACTCCAAATTTCAGTCACTGTTCCAAGTTTCAACCGATACCTAGGTTAGAAATTCTTAGGCCTAGCTCCCACTTCATTCAAGCAGGCCTTCTTCAGTCTTTTGCACTTCTAAAATTGTTATGGTTGTTTTCAGGAGGCAATTCCGTTCCTGACTACAGCCAAGAATATGACCTGGCGGATGCTATGACGATGACGGAGAATCCCGAAGCAAGGCGAGAAGCAGTGAGTCGTTTGGTTTCGGAGATGGCGACGGTTGAGAATGCAAGTGGTAGTTGCTCAATTTGCATTGAAAGTTTAAAGCAATCTGATAAGGGAGATGCTAAGCAAGTCTCATGCGGCCATGTCTATCACCAAACTTGTATTACCAATTGGCTTTTTAACGGAAGAAGCAACTCCTGCCCTCTTTGCCGCCATGAAATCTAATTAAGCTTCTCGATTTGGAGTATGTGATCGGTACTACTACTACTCCTAGATTTTGCTTTTGTTTTTTCTTATAAAAATTAATATTTCAAGACTTATTTGTTTACACTTGGTTGAATTATGGTATCAACTTATTTTATTCCATGTTGATGTTGGTCTCGAATCTATGTTTATCCATGACCATGAGCTCGTGGAAGGTTCGGGGGCTTAGTTTCGTGACAATATGACATCACTGATACATACTCGATATGAAGTAGAACACACGAGTGGGAAACTTCCACGTACGACATGACAACTTTTGAAGTAAATGGAAAAAAAAAATAAAAAATAAGACAGTGAAGAAGGTTTGGGGATAACAAGGACTCACGTCCCTCCTCGCGAAAGCCTGATGGCGAAACAACCAC